GACTGGGGGCCTTGCACGCCCTAGGTTTGGAAATCTCTCCCTATCTTATCTAATAAATCCATCTTATGAATCATGGAAAGTGTCGTTAGTGCCAGTGCTGTGTCCCCTGCATTTTCATTGCCACTAATTGATGATATGTTGAGGGACTGTTAGAGTTGGAAAGTCGTTTTGTGGACATCATAATAAAAATTGTAAATTAGCATTCTAAATGCAGAATCTATGGAATTTTAATGAGGAAGCAGGGTACTTACACATTTAAAATGTGTGCTTACAAACTGCTTACTAATCACAAGGTAGAAAATATGCAGCAATTACATAGTAGAAAAATTGGACAACATCTTGAATGGCTGGCCAAGTTAGGAGTATTATGGAAGTACAGGTGGGAGTCATGTCCTCTGGGACACATCACCACCTCTGTAGTATTCTGGCTGAGAGTCTGTAACCTTAGTCTGATTGTAGAAGACATAAAGCTAACCTTAAATGATAAATGTTCTCTTTTAAGAAGGATGAAGGGGAGTTAGTCTTAAAATATTGTCAGTGTCAGTTGATCAGCTACTCTAGCCAAGTGTTGACAGTGACTATCTGGGCCGGCGGAGACTCTAAGGTGGACTGTCGGCCAGTGGATTCTGGAGAGATTTCATCGTGATTGGAGTGGCAGGATCAACAGCAATTCAGGACTGTTGAACTATCAAAACCTCTTGAAAACTTCATGGTGTTTTAAATTTCTATTTTTCTTCCTGTTGTTGATTTTGTATTGTAGCTTTTCATTTAAGGGGATGTATGGTAACTGTATAATGGAGACTATCATGTGGGCAGCTCTACTTCCAGATAAAGGATGGGCTTCCAATGAAACAGTTAACTATATCTTGACAACGGGATGCTGGACTCCATTGGATATGCCTGCAATGATGGACATATGACTGTTTGTGAAGAATTATACTGTAGTAATAATAATATAGGGGAACTCAATGGTGGGGAGGGGACCTGGGGTGAGGTCTTGGGAAATCCCAAGACCTATGGAATTGTATCATAAAATGATAATAATAATAAAATTTAAAATAATAATAAAAAAATATTGTCAGTGTCATAATAGACTATAGTAGACTGGAAATGTTCCAGAATGTTGGAAACTAAAAAGTCATGGCAACTAAGGCAGTACCTGACCCTACAATGGAACCTTTATCAGAGAAGGAAATTCTGTAAAGGACACTGCTGGGTAAACTGACAAAACTAAAGTACTGATGCTAGAAGAAACAATTTTATCAATGTTAGATTTGATGACATTGTTAACTGTATTATGATTATGTGAGGAATGTTTTTAGGATGTAGGCTCAGATATGTAGGAGAACCATGATGCCTACAATTTGCCCTCAAAATGTTCAGGTGTATCTATATGTGTGTATGTGTGAGTGTATGTGTGAGAGAGAGGGGGGGAGGGAGAGAGAGAGAGAGAGAGAGAGAGAGAGAGAGAGAGAGAGAGAGAGAGAATGGAGAAAACATGTGTGATTGCAAATGACAAGTGAGGTGGAATGTTTGTAGTCAGTGGATATGATTAAAGGGTGGATGTGTACTCTGTTTTAGAGCCATTGGCTTGAAATTATTTCTGAATAAAAGTTATGTATGTTTAGTTGTGACGTTTCTCATGCACTAATGAAGTAATGAAGCCTAGAGTATTTGTTAGAAGCATGAGTAGTCATCATGCCCGTGAGGTAGTTTCTCTGAAATACCAAATGTCGCAGTGAGCCTTTTGTTAAATTAAGATCAGATCGGTTCATGGGTTCATTATCCAGTGAGTATCTTAAGTACTAGAATGTGGTTGAAGAGGAATCCATGCTTTAGATAACCAAATATAGGACAGATAGTGTCGATGCCGTGTTATGAAATGAAAGCCTGATTTATTTTGTGCTCATTTACTTTTGTGAGGGTAAGATGATTATTCAAATTTTCTTTCAAGGGGATTTTGAAACTATAGAAACAGTTGGACAGGTGTGCAGGTATGATCCCAGTTTTCTGAAGTATATAGAGGAAATTATTTGGCCTCGTTATTTTAAAGGCTTGAGGTAGCAGTCAGTTGTTCATCATAAGGAAGTCTAGATTTGCATCTCCTTTAGAAAGTATGACTTTGAACAAAATTGCATGCTGATGGCCTATACAGAATAAATTAGCCACAAAATGCACGTCAAAAAGCTAATTACTGACCTCTAGTTAAGAAGCAAATTGGACTGATAGAAGCACTTAGTACATTGAAAAAGCGGAAAACATTACGTAAATATCTGCGTAGGACACTTTTGGTCTAAGTAATAGTGTTGTAATTGTAAATGAACAGCCCTGTCTCTGGTTTAAAGACCTTTGTTGACTGTAGTTGCAAAACAAGCACCAGATAAATTGGCAGTATCTTGAAAGTCTAAAAGATGGGGATGCTTAACTTTTTTTATTTATTTACTTATTTTTTGTGACTGCGGATTATTTTTAAAGATTTATTTATTAAAGGTAGAGCTACAGAGAGGAGAGATGGGGAGAGAATGAGAGAGAGAGGTCTTCATCTGCTGAGCCACCATGGCTGGAAGCAGGCCATTCCTCAGTGAGGAAGCAGGAGCTTCCTCTGGATCTTCCACGTGAGTGCGGGGCCCAAGTACTTAGATCATCCTCCCCTGCTTTCCCAGGCACATTAATAGGATGCTAGATTGGAAATGGAACAGCCAGGACAGGAACTGGTACTCATATGGGATGCCAGCATTGCAGTGGGTGACTTTGGTGTAATTGGAGCATCTGTCACTGGCCTGTGAGCTGGTTCTTAAAATTTTACAAGTTTTAAAAAATTTTTAATCATAGTTATTTTTAAAGATTTAATTATTTTTATGAGAAGCAGATTTGGAGAGGAGAGACAGAGAGAAGGATCTTTCCTCTGCTAGCTCATTCCCCAAATGGTCGTAATGGCCAGAACTGAGCCAATATGAAGCTAGGAACCAGGAGCTTCTTCCAGGTGTCCCATGTGAGTGCAGGGTCCCAAGGCGCCTGAACGTCTGCTGCTTTCCCAGGCCACAAGCGGGGACCTGGGTGGCAAGTTAAACTATGTAGGCTTGCTATTAGAAGGGTAATTTGTAAACTCTTAAACTTACCATGTTCTGATGATCTTATTACATTTTGGTATGATCTGTGTTCTTGAAGATTGAGTATATATAGTAGTTCTATGATTGAAATACTGTGTAAGGATGTAGTTATGTGGACTTTAATTCCATATTTAATGATATCACATTGGTTGTTTGAAACTAGCCATGGTAAGTATATTTACATGGCAGAGATTGGCAAATGCCATAAATCAAGATTTTATTTATTATTTAAAGATTGTCTAGACATAAAGTGATGGAGAAAATGCTAATGCAGATGTGTCATGTCTTTATTATATAGTGAATAGCTCAAAAAATGAGGATATATTCTCCCATTATTCAAAAGCTATCAACTGCCTAAGCAAAAAAGTCACTCATCCGGTTGACATCATTGATGTAAACAAAAATATCAATCAGTACTACAAACTGCGTTTGGAGATCTAGTTACCGAATTACCAGCACACTGTTGGTTATGGTATACCTGAATTCAGTGATTTGAAGAATTCAGATATGTAGTCTGATTTGTTGCAAATCAGAAATAAAATCATAGAATTTAGGGCTTGAAGAATGCTTAATCTAGACCGATTTGTCATTTATTTGAATAGAAATGTCTTCTTTAGTGTATTTCAGTTGTCCAGTTTTATTTAAATTGCTTTAGAGACAGCTTTGTTATCTGATATGTGCGTTGGAGAACTATAGAAGTAGAGCTGTTTCTTGTCTAATATATATATTTATTTATTTTTCTTGGGAGGTCAGATTTACAGAGTGAAGAAATGATAGATTTTGCATCCACTGGTTCACTCCTCAAGTGGCTGCAACGGCCAGAGCAGAGCTGATCTGAAGCCAGGAGCTTCTTCTGGGTTTCCCACGTGGTTGTAGGGTCCCAAAGCTTTGGGCTGTCCTCTACTGCTTTTCCAGGCCACAAGCAGGGAGTTGGAAGGGAAATGGAACAGCTGGGATACAAACTGGCACCCGTATGGGATCCTAGCACATGTAAGGCGAGAACTTCAGCCACTAGGCTACTGCGCTGGGGCCTTGTGTTAAACTTGATTGTACTTTAATTTGTACCAGTTGGTTCTGATACTGGCTTCTGGAGAAGCATAAGAACACTGAAAGATAGTACAGATTTTTTTTTTCTCTTTTATAAATGCAAGCAAGTAATCCTTTAGGGGTAAAGATTGTTGTGATACTCTCATTTAGGCCTCTTTGGCAAGTATTCCTAGATTTCTTTTTTGCTTTTTATTTGAAAGATATATCTCTATCTATATATGTTTTTGGAACTATTTAGATAGTCTTATATACATATCTATCTACCTGTGTGTGTATCAGTCCTCTACCCATCCACTGGTTTGTTGCAATGCCAACAACAGCTGGGGCTGGACTAGCCTGAAGCCAGGAACTCAGCTGTATCTGGTCTCCCACATAGGTGGTGGGACTCAAGGACCTGCAGTAATATCTACTACCTCTCAGGATATTCATTAAGCAAATCACTGTTTTTTGTGTATATATTTATGTTGCATAAATGGTTTTTGAGGGTTTCACCTTAGTTACACTCTACAGTGTAAAAGCCATAGCTCTTAGAATATAAAGGTGATCATGTTTCATGAGCACTGAATTCTGATACACTTTAATTTAGCCTAACTAAGGCTACTTATTTAAAAAGTAGATGATTTAAAGAATATAAATCTGGATAATATGTGAATAAAATCCAAAATGATTGTTTTTGGAACTTGCTCTCCTTGGGATGTGCACCTTAATTAGTTTTATGGCAGGTTTTGCTTCTTTTTGCACTTGAAGGTATCTGTAGGCTGGATTAGTAGGCCCTTTACCTCATGGGTTCAATATGTTGTAATTAGTTCCTGGTAATTAAATCATCCTTTCTTTTTCTTGCAGGTTGAGTTGGTGCAATGCAGCAAGAAGGGGACAGATGCAGAGTTCGCGCCAGAAGGCCTGATATGGCACTTTATGTCCCCAAAGCTCTAAGGGGCACAGTGCTCCTCAAGACCGGTGATAAGGAAAAAAGCTGTAGTTCAGTAAACTCTCTGGTGAAAGAGGAACAAAACAGTTGCCTCTCCCAAAAGGAGGTCCTTAGAGACAAACTTGAGGCTCAGAGACTGAGTAACAATCCTGATGGAAAGGAACCTAACTGGAAAGAAGGAAAGACTTATTCAGCAAGATTAAGGAAATACACATGCCTTCAAAACAGAAATAAAGATAGGGTTTGTACCAAGAGAGGGCCTATAGAATCCAAAGAAGTATCCCAGGGACACCAGCACAGGGTCCCAAATGTTGATATTGCACCTGGTATACCTTCACAAGGGCATTTTAAACCAAAGAAGGTAGAGTGTTTGGAGGTTGAAACCACAGATTTGACAGGATGTGAGAGGATTCCTGTATCACAGTCCTGTTCAGAAATCCCTGAGGCACAAGTTCTAAGCACACCACTCCAAAACATGGAATTGAATGAACTAAGGGCGGAAACTTCTCAAGACAGAGATTTGGAAAGCAAAATTGAAACCGATGCCCAAATTGTAGAGACACTGTCTCAGTTTCCTGGAGTTTTTAGTTCTGTATCACAAACTGAGAGTCTGAGTACATCAGTAAAATTAAGCTCTGATTCTTCAACTGCACCACAAGATGGAGGGGCGAGGCTCAGCAGTGGAGATGTCACGGCTGTCGCTGATTCTGCATGTCCACATCTTGTCATTGATCAAGCCTCTGCCAACTTTGCATCTGAGAATATAGGTGATATAGTCAACAATACAGATTCTGTCTTTGGTCGGAAAGGTCTAGATTCCATTCCTGAGACTGTGGGCCCTGTCACTCCTGAAGAGACTACAGACAATAAATTCAGGAGCACAAATGGAATTGTTGATCCAACGAAAATTAAAAAGTGTGAGAAGAATAACATCAGTGCCAGTGAGTTTTGTGTGGAGTACGGACTTTCTGAGACAGCTGTCCTTGCTCAGGAAACAGACAGAAATAGTAGGTGTCAGGATGTAGATGATATTACCAATAAGGCATGTGTGATGGACATTGCAGAAGATCTATGTCATCATGCAACTACAGACAGTCCTTGTGAGGTTCCAGGTGGAGTAGCTGATGAGACCTGTGCTACTCCGTGTGATTTCTCAGGATATATAGAAATAAGTGCAAGTGCGGCCCAACCTCAAGAAGTTAGAAGTGGGGATGACGCACAAAATTTCAGCACCCTGATTTCTTGCCCAGATATTTATGGTGAGAATGTTTTATCTGATTTTACAGAGTCAACAGGAAAGTTGACAGAGAACTCGTCAGGTTGTACTTCCTCCTTCCCTAGAAAGAAGATTGCTGATGGTAATTGTCACACTTTTTTGGACTCTGAACTCAGTGTGTTAAATGGCCCAGAAGTATTTGCAGACTGTGCCTCAGGCAGTGATGCAGATAGTACTGGCGATACAACCAAGGTGTCACTTGAACTGAGGACTGCTGAAGATGTCGAAACAGAAGAGCAGGGTGACTCAGAGAATACAGAACTCGGAATGTCCTTTCCTGGTGGAGAATCTTCTATGGGAACACTCACGGAACTGAAAACAGCTGACACTTCTTGTGGGGAGGACAGTCCTGATCCCGAGGAGAGCTGGGAATCTATGTTTAATGACGATGGTGACTGCCTGGATCCCCGTCTACTACAGGAGGTGTGCAGGAATTGCTTGATGCTTAGACAACATGTAAATTCTGAGAATCCTGGGATTTTGGGGATACTGTTGCTAGACATTTGCATACATTGATACATATTCAGTTTAAGGACAGTTTGAGGGGCTTCAAAAAGCTTGTGGAGTCTAGAATTAAAAGATAATGTGAATTTTTTGAAGTTCCTCATATCTGATATATCTTAATCTTTTCTAAATATTTATTTATTTGAAGGAAGGAGAGACAGAGGTCGATCTTCTATCTGCTGGCTCACTCCCCAGATGACCACAGTACAAAGCCAGGAGCCTGGAGCCTCCTCTAGGTCTCCCATGCTGGTGCAGGGGCTGGAGGACTTGGGCCAGGTGATGAAATGGAGCAGTTGGGACTCAAATTGGCACCCATAAAGGATGCTGCCACCGCAGGTGGATGGTATGCTATGGGCCAGCCCTGATAGATTTTTTTTTAAGAAAGTTAAAACATACAGAAGTAAACTGTTGCTATAAGTATATCCTAAGTTATCTTATTTGAAGAGATTAAAGATAAATGTAATGGATTCTGACTATCTGCTGAGGAAACATGAGAGACACTTATTGCAAATGCTTTTCTGTATTGACAAGATATATTTTACACTAGCCTACTTACAAGGTAGAGAATAATCTATTACTATTAATAACATTTATTTCCTACTAGAAGTTGAAATATTGTTAGACACTGTAGAGGAAAGGAAATAGAGAAGGTAAGGTAAAATAAAATAGGATTACTTTTAAGTTTAGTCTGAATTAAAATTGAAGAATAAATCACATTTATAAAAAAATGCAAATAAATAATGACATGATAATAAGTTGTAGTTTAAAGTGTTGGACTTAAATGGATCCGGCATGGTGGCTTTGCTTGCTTGCTAATCTTCAGCCTCTATCACTGGTATCCCATTCGGGTGCCTGTTTGAGTTCTGGCTGCTGCACTTCTGATCCAGCTTGCTGCCCATGGCCTGGGAAAGCAGTTGAGGAGGGCTCAGGTCCTTGGGTCTCTGCACCCATGTGGGAGACCTTGGAAGAAGTTTCTGGCTCCTGGCTTCAGATCAGTTCAGCTCTGGTCATTGCAGCCATTTGGAGAGTGAATCAGCAGATAGAAGAACTCTGTCTTCTTTTCTCCATAATTTGGACTCTCAGAGAAAAATAAATTTTATGAAAAAAATGTTGGATTTGAAGACATCTTAGAAATTACTTAGTTCAGGGCCCGGCGCAGTGGCACAGTGGTTAAGGTCCTCGCCTTGCACGCCCGGGATCCCATATGGGCACCGGTTCTAATCCCGGCAGCCCCGCTTCCCTTCCAGCTCCCTGCCTGTGGCCTGGGAAAGCAGTCGAGGACGGCCCAAAGCTTTGGGACCCTGCACCCGTGTGGGAGACCCGGAAAAGGCTCCTGGCTTCGGATCGGCCGTTGCGCTCACTTGGGGAGTGAATCATCGGACGGCAGATCTTCCTCTCTGTATATCCGCCTTTCCAATAAAAAAATAATAAAAATAAATCTTTAAAAAGAAATGACTTAGTTCAGTCTTTTTAAGGTTACACAGGTACTCTGTCTAGCAAACAAGTTTGTTGCCATAAACTGGAACCACAGGTTTTAAAAAAGAGCCACTGCCTCTTTTTATTCCTTTGCGTGGTTCACATAATCCTTGCCTGGTAGGGAAAAGTTCTTTTCCTAGAAGATCCCCTGGTTTTATAAAGGAAGCTTAGTGGTCACATTCTTGGGAAAAGCCGAATCAGGATTTTGGTCTCTTCTATCTTAATACACCATTTATATTCTTTCTAGCAGACAGTTTCCTTACCTAACATTTTGTTTGAGCCATTCTGAAGAGCTTTTATATATATATATAAATATATATGTGTAAGATTTATTTATTTTTATTGGAAAGTCAGATATAGAGAGAGGAAGATCTTCCGTCTGATGACTCACTCCCCAAGTGACCACAACGGCTGGAACCGAGCTGATCTGAAGCCAAGAACCAGGAGCTTCTTTTAGGTCTCCCATGCAGTTGCAGAGTCCCAAGGCTTTGAGTCTTCCTTAACTGCTTTCTCAGGCCACAGACGGGGAGCTGGATGGGAAGTTGGGCCCCTGTGATTAGAACCGGTTCCTGTATGGGATCCTGGCGTGTTCAGAGCGAGGACTTAAGCTGCTAGGCCATCACGCTGGGCCCTTTGGAGAGCCTTTTAAGTACAAAGCGATTTCTCTGAAAATTAAATTGAAAGTATAGAAAAAATTACCATAAGACTGAAGAGGGCAGCCCATTGGACAGAACTGACTTCGCAATATTAAGCATGCCCACCCTATTCTTACTCTCTTATTCCTTTTTTTCCCCTAAAATTGATTTGAAAGGCAGAATTGTATGTAGAAGGAGATGTTTCATCTGCTGGTTCACTTCCCACATGGCTGCGTCAGCCAGAACTGGGTCAGGTTGAAACCAGGGACTTCATACTGGTCTCCCCTTGGGCGTGGGGACCTGAGCCATCATTCTCTGCCTTCCCAGACACAGTAGTAGGAACCTAGATTGGAAGTAGAGCAGCTAAGACCTAAACCATTGTTCACACAGGATGTTAGCACCACAGTTGGCAGTTTAGCCTGTGCCATAGCCCCAATATATTTTTATTTTCAAGTTTGTTTTATTTATTTGCAAGACAGTGCTACACAAAGAAGAGATTAAGAAGTCTTCCATTTGTTGACCCACTCCCCAAATGGCTGTGCTGGTGGGAGTGAGCCAGGCTGAAGCCACAAGGCAGGAACTTCATTTGGGTCTTCCACGTCAGTGACAGAAGTTTAAGTTCTTGCCCCCTTTCTAATCATATTAATAGGAAGCTGGATGGGGAATGGAGCAGTCAGGGCTCGAACTGGTGCTCCAAGATGGGATGCTGATGGTGCAGGTGACAGCTTAATTTATCGCACCATTGTGCCTGCCCCAGAAGTGAAACTCGAGAATGTCTGTTCAAATGTATGTGTACATCTGAGTGTGAGAAGCTCCGTAGAGCTGTTAGTCTGTAATTAGACTTGATGTTAGCCAAAAGGCCGAGAAGCGATAGCAGCCTGTAATTTTAAAAAATATACTTTTTAGTATAGATTTTTGAGGCCTAAATCAGGTTAAGAAATAGTTACAATGGTAAGTTAGATGAATTTCCAGGATCAGATCATTGTGAGAGGGCATTAGTCTGAGAAAGCGAGGCGTGTTTGCAGGAGTTGGCAGAAGAAACCTGTAGGAAAGAGAGCACCACTCCTGCGGAAGGACCTGGCACACGAGCATTTACACATGGAAGTGCTCAGTGGTTTCTAACGAGCACAGATGAAAAGGCAGAGATGGAACCCTCTGACTTTTAAAAATGATCTCCAAAGGTTTCAGAACATCCCTGAAGTGGAATTTAGATTCATCATACCTGAGAGAGCTCCCATTCATGAGTTCATTCCTTGAATGCCTGCAGTATCTGTGCCTGGGCCGGGGCCAAAGCTGGGAGTCAGGAACACAGTCTGAGTCTCCCAGTTACCTGGGCCGTCTCTCCTGCTTTCCATGGGCGGTAAACTGAACAGAAGCCATAACTGGCAATCCAGCCCATGTTTCTGAAAGGGAAAATTATAATCCAGCCATTAAAAGCAGATTACAAAGGGAGGAAATCCCTTCACATCCTACTCCACTTTTAAGTCAAATAGTAAATTTGAGTACTTAAGAGTTTGATAAACTGTAATTCACAAATAGCTAGGCTTATGTTATCAGTACTGTGTTAAAAATAGTAAACTTCATGCCGACTTTCTCTCTGCTCTGCAGTTGCTTACATTTTTTTGTACAGACACTATGTAACCGTGTGACTTGATAGCTACATAGCAGTCTGAAGGCTAATTAATATAAATCAACATATAAAATAGCTTTGTTAGAGATATATATAAAAACAGTTATTTTGATTGTCTGCCAAAATTTGAAAAGGAGATTTGATCCCCCAGGGCTAAACTGATTGATGCAGTTGCATGCTGACAGGGCCAGAGGGGTAAGAGATTGTAGTTCCACTTCTGTATTGCTTTATGTTCCTTATTCCTATTAAAAAAAAAAAAAAGACTGATAGTCTGTTTCTTGAGGAATTTTAGGTTTATGAAAAAAAGTTAACAGTACCCATGTACCCCCTCACTCTTCTATTTCTAATTACTTTTTCACAGTATCTTTTATTAGTCTCAACTCATTTTAACAGATTTATAACTGTGTCTGAGTGGGCATGTTGTTGACTCTTTGAGTGGTGATTTGTGGACTGACCTTCCAGATGTTGTACATTCTAATGCAATCACCCAGGGCATCTAGCAAAGGGTCTGATTGAATTATGTGCTCTTCATTCTGTTAGACCTCTGATTAACACAAAACAATATGAAGATTTTGTTACTCATATAGGGTGTTTTTTTGTTTTAGGCCAGGTTATTCCTAAAATTGAAGAGTTCCCTTCTGAGCTCTGTTGGATTTATTGCATATTTTTTCTTTTGAGTCAGCATACATGCCAGCAACATTTTGATTTCTGGCAGAAAGGCAGACCCTTCTAGGCTTATATTGCTAGTATAAAGGAAGCTTTTTGGAGTTCTTGTTTGTAGCTTCAGAGATTTCTGGTGTGCCTCAATTTCTCCTTAGCAATGTTTCTGTTTCAGTGAACTCAGCAAGATACAGTGTGTCAGGTGTGGTTGGGGCATGAGTCCTAATGCTTACCCCACTGAATTCATGAGCTGTGTGGTAACAATAGCAGGGAGAAAAAGAGCCAGCTATGTACAAGTATTAAGGATTCATTGATTTTTAAAAACTTTGGTTAGGGATAGAAACATACCTTTGGGAGAATTACATCCTTCACACATCTCGTCTTATGTTAATCATTTGTGGTATCAGGAAGTGCATATATTCTAAAATTGGATTGTTAGTGGCAAAGCTTTGTGGGAGAGAACTTCTAGTGAAGAAGGGAGTGATTTAGCCATAGGTGTAGCTACTGAAATATGTACTGGAGAGTCTAAAATATACTTAAATTCAGAATTCTTTCTGTTGTGATGACTCTGGGGTTGAGGTATTGGAAAAAATAAGATTTTCCCATACAGGGCAGAGATGCACATGCTAATAAGTAGGTGTTTCATGTTCTTTGGCTGAAGGCTGAGTTTGTTCAGAAAAATCTAAGGGGACAATCATAAATACGGGGCACCAATCCTAAAGCCTCAAGATGGTGGAGTGTACTGTTACATTGTTCCCCTAGGTCAGGATTGGCTTGCTGCTTATCCAATGTGTCTGAGCCAGTTACTGAAGGTTGGAAGGACATATTTATTACCTGTTGCTGAGATGGACAAAGACTGTAGACTAAGGAAAGAGCTGTTTTTTTTTTTTTTTTTTTTAAAACCAGGAAAGATCTGTCTGTGTAACAGGAATTGAGATAGTCAAGGTAGTATAAGGGAGAAGTGGATCTTGATCTGGAGAAATCAAGCAAGAAGTGGGTAGCAGTGAATGCCAATTTTGTCTGCACTGCAATTTTTCTTAGGCTTCATGGGTACCTACTGTCAGTGAATATTACAACAGTACCCAAGTACCTGAGCTAGTTGTGGATTTTAGGATTCTTCTGCTTGAGTTGGCTTTATTATTCCAGCCTTTAGCTTTCAACTTTATCAGTGATATCTTTCTACCTAATGTTTCCGAGCATACTGGGAAGAGAGATGTAATTTGTGGGCTTTGTATCTGTAATTTCACGAAACATAGAATAATAATTACATCTTTTTGCTGTGATTTTCATTGTGTTTTCAACAAGTCTCAGAAGCTAAAACGCTTAATAGTTACCTCAGAAGTGAGACATATATGTGCAAGTTCAATTTTGCAGACCAGGTCAGAGCAAGAAACTGGAATCAAATCTCCTGGCCAGACTGTACTTTTCCTTCTTAATAATCAGTTCTTAGTGTTTCGATTTCTAAGATATTTTGTGGTTTGCCTTATGTCTTCCATAGTGCTTATTTAGCCCCAATTTATGACAGCACAAGATGCAGTTCTTCACTTGGTTTGGTTTTTTGTGAAGTAACTCACAAAGTCACCCATCAAAAAGATTAAACGAAGAGAATAATTCCACTTACAATAGCATCGGAAATAATAAAATATCTAAGAATAGATTTAACAAAAGGACATAATATGTATACTGAACATTAAAAAACATTTGAAAGAAAATTTAAAAAGAGTAAGTAAATAGGAAGACATCCCATGATCATCTGTTATTGTTACTCCCCAAATTTATTTTCATATTTCTGTAGTCCCAGTTGCCTATTTTTGCAGAAATTGACAAGCTAATCGTTAAATTCCTGTGTAAATGCAAGGGACTGCAACTATCAGAGTGTTTTTGAAAACCAACGAAATTGTAGGACTCAGATGTCCTGATTTCATAACTTTTTGTAAAGCTCTGGTAATGTGGACTGTGGCCCTGGTACAAGATTGACATGCAGGTAATTATAGAATCCTTTTGTCTGTTTTAGGGAATCCAAGTTATCCTCTGTGCTTAACACTGTCTTCCCTTAGAATTTTCCTCTTGGAATTTATCAGTTTTCCTGAGATTTTGTTTAGCTACTTGTATGATACACATCTGCTGAAAGTAAAATAATTTAGATTCTCTTTCTCTTTAGGAAACTTGTCATTCTATGGATGTTAGTTCCCTTGGTTGTCTTGCAAACTCAGCTTCTAGTGAAGTCAGGAAAAGTAATGGTTTTGTGGATCAGCTGATATTTTCCCTTGTTACCATTAGAGCAATAATATCTTCCTGCTCTCTGCATCCCAAGCAGAGTGGAATTAACATGGTGCTTGGCATGCAGTAGATTTACCACTTCATTAAAATTAGTTTAGGTTGAATTGATTGAGTACTAAATGCCAAGGACTTTGTATCATGTTATTTAATCCTCACAACTGACTTGTGGGCACTTTTGTTATATCAGTTTCTTGGATTCAAAACTGACACTTAATGCAGAGAAAGAACTGGAAAACAGGAAGAAACTTATTGATTACCTGCATCACTTTTTGTCCTTCTTCCTCTCCGATAAAACCTGAATCCATTTTTCACTTCTCCAGAGAAAAGAGGTAGATTCCTTGTTCTCTTTCTCAATTTGATGGGAGAAGAGACAGTACAAAAGAAGGAAACCCTAATGGGATCTCATTGGACTTTTGATTGATAAAAAAGGAAAAGGTCTCAAGAGGTAGCAGCTTCGGGTCGGTAAGAAGTCAGTAGCAGCTAGATTTGATAACAGCTGAATGGCAAAGTGACTGTTGTGACTTTGCTGTGGCCTTCCCATTTTCCATCTCTGATTCCAGTTATTTAATGGGACAGTATAATTTGAAATATTTTTCATTATTACTAACTTCTTCACTATTCTCTTATGCGGGAAAGTTTTGGTGGCTCTCATGCCAGAGAAATTGAGTATAAGTACTTGTACCATTTACATTTGTCTAATAAATTCCTCTATGAATTTTCTCTTCACCATGTAATAATCCAACAAAAGGTGAATTTGTTTTTAATTAAAAATATCTTATCATTTTTTACTTCCAGAAGAGAGATTGAGATGAATGTGATCAGTTATCTGAAATTAAAACAAGTTGTCAGTCTATCCTTCTTGTGTGTGAGTCAGTTTCTAACATGTGACATTTGTAACTCAATGTGTTGTGTATATATTTGCTCCTGCTGATTGACTGATGCAAATTGGATTTTATGTATTGCCAATCTGCCAGAAGTTCAATGTCTCTTTCAAGTATTTTTACCTGTGTGATATACACTGGGTGATAAACCCATGGTCATCACTGATTTGGTGAAAAGCGTTAACTGAGAATGTGAAAGAATAAGAAATGCAGGGGGAGGGATGGAGACAAGGAGCAGAATTGTTTATAAACGAGTACGCACTTTATAATGCCCAGGCTTATTGTAACAGTTGTTTATATATGCTTTCTCCTCTCTAGTTATCAGGGAATGTACACAAAGCAAGCATCCAGGAACCTAGATTTGATTATTACAGCCATGAAGTTCCTGATATTGACCTCAGTGAGTGTGAATTCCCTCATGTCATTGAAATTTATGACTTCCCCCAAGAATTTCGTACTGAAGACCTTCTGCGGGTTTTCTGCAGTTATCAGTAAGTATTTGCTGGTGTTAGGAAAGGTGGGATGAAATTTTCTTAAAATGTCTGCTGAAAAAGAACTTGTTTTCATATTTCAGATTACTTGAGTATCAAGTTTGTTCACTATTTTCCTCAGATCCATTAAAAATAAATTGTATTTAATTACTCTTCCACATGTTCATTAAATACAGGATAATTTTTCTAGATCCTATTTTAGTATTTAAGACTTCTCTTCAAGGTGATGGCTTCATCTGATTCTGATTCATGGTGCATTTAGCCTATTTGTAAAAGACGAAAGATTTATACGATCTGAAGAGAAACCAAAGTATTCATTTAGCCTATTTGTATTTATTATAATTATGTTTATACTTGAATATATATGTAAATTAGACATTTGTACATGAAAGTATTTCAAAAGGTTTTTAAAAAATGAATGTAAGACCTTATTTTGGTGCAAAAAAATTGAAATCCAGTGGTCTACACAAAGATTATGAAAAATTTATATTATGAAAATCCTGTGTATGGATTTTAAGTTTTTTTTATATAGAGGAAGAAGAGAGACAGAGAGAGTTTCCACCTGCTGGTTAATTCTCCAAATAGCTGCAACAGCTTAAACTGGGCTGTTCCAAAGCCAGGAGCTTTTTCTGGATTTCCTACATAGGTAGATGGACTAGAGCCATCATCTGCTGCTTTCCTTGCTGTTAGCAGTTAGCTGGTTGGGAAGAGGAATAGCTGGGACTTGAACTGGCACCCAAATGGGATGCCAGCCCTACAGGTGGATATTAACTGGCTAAGCTGTAGTGCTGGTCCCCTTTTTTACATTGTAATTCATTAGGTTAGGTGTTTGGTTTAAGATCACTCGGAGGTGCTGTAGAATTGCCTGGTTTTGACTCTTGGCTCCACTGTCAACTCTAGCTGCAAGCTAATAGACACCCTAGGAAGCAGCAAATGATGGCTCAGTAGTGGAGATCTGGATTGGGTTCCCAGCTCCTGCCTTCCTCTGATTCGGCCCTGGCTATTACAGGCGATTGAGAAGTGAACCACTGGATTGGAGTTCTGTCTCTCTGCTGCGCAAATAAGTAAAATAAATATCTTTTTAAAAAGTTTTTAATTAGTAAATTTATCTTTTAATTAAGTTTTTTCACAATGCATCGTGTGTGTGTGTGTGTGTGTGTGTTTTACTTGTCCTGTCTTTTTCCCTTCATTTTGGTTGATTAAGATTTTTTTTCTTGTTTGGCTTTCATAAAAATGATAAACTTTCTATTCAGTGAAGGCTCTAGATATTGCAAAATACATGCTCAACTTTTCATTGGTAATGTTAATATTTTTCCTTTTTTTTAATGCTTTTAGTTCCTCACTCTTCCCTCCTCATCTTATATACTACTGTAGCTACTTAATTGAAACATTTTTCCTTTTACATTCCATTTACCACAACTACTGTTTTATATATTCAGTATTCAACTTTATTTATTTTCTTAAGATTTATCTATTATTGGAAAGGAAGATTTACAGAGAAGGAGATGTAGAGAGAAAGCTCCCGTCTGCTGCTTCACTCCCCAAGTGGCTGCAATGGCTAGAGCTGAGCTGAGCCAAAGCCAGGAGCCAGGAACCTCCTCTAGGTCTCCCATGTGGGTGTAGGGTCCTAAGGTTTGGGCCTTCCTTTCACAGGCCACAAGCAGAGAGATCCAGGCTCATGCAAGGCGAGGATTTAGCCCTGAGCCATCTCTCTGGACCCAAATTTATTTACTTCATATGGTCTTCATTTGAACATTATTGTACCTCACACCTTCCCTGTGAAATCTCTTTACTTGCAGTCATTTTAATTCTGTTTCTGGTGTTTTTTTGGTTTCTATAAATTCTTCTTAATGGTGTCTTGTATTTAGTAGGGGTGGGGAATGTGCTGATTGACGTTTTTTAATATGAGCTAATAATTTTCTAGTACTTAAATGTTAATCCTTCTAATTCTTTCTAATCTGATCTGCTGTTACTTTTATTCTTAATTTTTCTTACTTTGTCACATTTGTTCCCATTTCCCTTATTCTCTTTCTATAGGAAATGAGAAAGTCAGCTATTTTTCCTATTACTTGCAGTCTTGTTTTTTTCACTCGCCAAGCTCCCGCCCCCTCCAACAGGCTTGACTCTGCATTCGCTCCCACTGACCTTTGCCATGTCCTTCTCTTCTGTTGTGCTGCTTCTCTTCTGCTCCCTCCTCCTTCTCTTTTCATTCCCTTCCTAGAAGAACATCTCTTGTAAATAGTACATTAAATACCTTCCCAAGGGACTTGTGAGGATTAATTAGTTGATGTCTATAAAATGGCTGAGAATGTAAAATACTCCCTGGTTGTTCTTTATGGTGTTATTATTGCCTTTAAAATTCATTGGCTTCTTCTGTCCTCCAAGCTGTTTTGTTTCATTATACCCATTCCACCTGTGTACGTACTGAGTATTTCCTTCTATTTCATGAAAAGCATTATGAGACAATTTGAAAGATGTTTCTTGAAAGCAGATTTTAAGAAATAAAATTGTTATCTTTTGTTGCAGAAAGAAAGGGTTTGATATTAAATGGGTTGATGATACACATGCCCTGGGAATATTCTCCAGTCCAGTTACAGGTAACCACCTCGTAATTTTCTTGTTCATTTCTTACCGTCAATTTTCTCCTGCAGCTTGTTCTGATTTCCTTTCTATTCAAGCCAGTTGGCATTTTATTCAACCAGCACATGTAATAGAAGATACAAATTCTTAAAACAGGTATTTTTGTTTTTTGAAAGGTAGAGAGAGTGAGGTCTTTCATGTGCTGCAATCCCCAAGTCCCCCAGCAGCCAGCACTGGGTCAGGCTAAAGCCTGGGATGCAGGATAGGAACCCACATATTTGAACCACTACCTGCTGTCTCCTGGGGTACACCTTAGCATTAAGGTAGAGTCAGAGGCAGAGCTGACACATGAACCCAGACACTGGGAAACAGGATGCAAACCAAGTACCCACCCCTCGATACAGATTTCTGATGCAGGTTTCTTTGATACCTGTGTGCCCCCTCCCCTTTTCATTGTAATCCAGTAGTATTTAGAGAGAAAACTTCCAAGGTTATTTGCATACATATCAATAAACAGTTTATGCACATAGATTTAACAGGATTGTGGGACTAGATCTTAAAAATGATTGCTATTTTTCTTTTTTCTCAGACAAATGAATTTGAAGTAACCGTTTTACTGGACCAGTGAAAAATTGTAGTATTCACCCTCTGTGTGATTTGGCCATCATACACACACACACACACACACACACACACACACACACACACACACATATATAATGGGGTTTTTTAAATAAGTACAGTGCAGAGACATTCAAAGAAACTAAATATGTTGGGATGTTGGTTCCTTACTGAATCACCTAGATTACAGATCTGCATACTTACTCTATAAAGCACCACTTGATATTTTAGATTGCATAGAGCTTAATGTTTCTGTCAGACACAAAAAGAGCCAGATAGTATGCAGACAGGCATGACTCCATGTCAATAAAATTTGATTTACAAAAGCGTATGTTTGGATGATTTGATCACAGCAGCGTTGTGCTTTCTGGTCTCTGATCTAAGGTAATCAGGACTTAGGACCAGCGTTGCGGTAAAGTGGGTGAAGTTGACTCCTGTGACACTAGTTTCAGTGTGGCAGCCCCACTTCCAATCCAGCTTCTTCCTAATGCTCTTGGGAAAGCAACAGAGGATGGCCCAAATGTTTGGGCTCCTGCCGTCCTCGTGGAGACCTGGATGGAGTTTCAGGCTCCTGGCTTTGACCTGGCCATTGCAGCCATCTGGGAAGAGAACTACTGGACAGAAGATCTCGCTCAACTCTGCCATTAAATAAAAAATAAAATAAATGTTATTTAAAAATCTTTACTTCAGTGGACTTTCAGGTATAGCAGTTGGGATTCTGGTTGGAATGTTCACATCTCATATTATAATGAAGTTCAGACGCCAGCAGGTATTAATTCCAGTTACCTGCTAATATACATCCAGCTGTTGGTGGCTCAGATGGCTGGGCCTTGGCTGCCCATTTAAAAGACTTGATTAAGTTCCTGGCCCAGCCCCAGATGTTGCAGGCGTTTGGAGAGTGGACAAATGAGAGCCCTTTCTGTTTGCCTATCAGGTAGCATTAATTAATCACAACCAAGTTGTACCTTACAGATGTTATCTTTAATCTCTTTTTTTGTTTTTGCTGTGAAAAAAAAAAAAAAACAGAAAAAAACCCCGCCTAACATCTAAGAAACATGCCAAGAAGTAGCCTCTAATTTTTCCTTTTGTCACTCCATTTCATGTATACTTTGCTGTATTTGTTCCTCTTTGCAGCTCGTGATGCTCTGGCTATTAAACATTCCATGGTGAAGATTCGACCCTTGTCACAGGCCACCAGAGCAGCCAAGGCCAAAGCTAGAGCTTTTGCTGGTGAGCCAGTAATCTGCCTTTTTTTTTTTTTATTAATGGTGGAGTTACTGTTGTGTGTGTGTTTTTTTTTTATCAGTTGTACATTGTACAGAGTTGTAAAGGCATTTTAGTTTCTTAAGGACAAAAAAGAAAAAATTCCTTGTTGAAATAGGGCATCTGAGTAGCTCCTTAGGCGGCGGGAGCACCAGCAGTGCCTGAGGGTGTTGCTACCTTGTTTACCTTCTGTTCGCTCTGGATAGAGTGTGTAAGGCTCAGAATGAAGCTGGGGGGTTTGTGCTTTGCCATGTTAATTTCCTCTGATCATCATCTGTATGTCTGTATTAATTACTGCTGATGCAGCCCTTGTTAGTCTACTTGGTATGTTAATTACTTGGATCTGGAATGCTTTCCCTTCCTTACTGCCACCTTGTCTCCCACTCAGAGTTCTTGCAGCCAGCCAAGGAGCGCCCCGAGACCTCAGCAGCCCTGGCCAGGAGGCTGGTCATCAGTGCCCTTGGGGTTCGAAGCAGACAGAACCCGCGGGACCGGGAAGCAGAGCGTCAGAAGCTGCAGGCAGCCCGGGGTAAGCCGAAGGAGTGTTGGTCTCCACTTTGTCCAGCATTCGCCAGAATATGTGCTTGTGTTGAAGGGGTGGGGGAAATGATATGACAAGCTGATTCCATTTTGTCATTTCCTGGAAATTTCCCTTATTTTCAAGCCTTATGTTCAGGAGGTTACCATTGCAGGATTTATCTGCCTGTTTCAAGGCATCATCCTAATCCATGCTCCTGCTGTTGTTTTCCAGGAGATCGTTTTTCTGCCTTCTCAGTTCACTCCTTTTTCTATGGGTTTTATATCAAACCCTGAGAAAAAAATTTCCTATGAAGACATAACAGTCTCCCAGAGAGAAAACATTATTTGCTGTGGTTTTACTGGGTTGTGATGTCACCATGATGGTTTAGACCTTAGGTGGAAGACAGATTAAGGAGAAGCCAGCAAGTGACAGTGGTGATAGAAACTGTGGGAGGTATTTTTGTCTTTTTTACAAACAATCCTGAGTTGTTCAGTTGGAGTACATTTAGATTCAGCTATCTTATATACTTATATTCCAGTATCTAAGAGTTCTCTGGAGATATTTCCACTAGTCCAGAAGCAGGGTTTTTCTTTCCTTATAATTTGAGGTTAAAATCTCTCTCTCCCCTTTTAAAAGGCTGTTGCGTTTGGGACGCAGGCTTGGCACTTAAGTACTTTTTATCAACCTTCAGGTTTAGACAGTCTCATTGCCTTAGCCCAAGATCTGTGAAATCTGTGAAAGCAATTTATTTTGAAAATTCCAGTTACCAAAAAGTAACTTCATTTTTCCATTAAACGAATTGAAGTTTCAAACTCCTTGTTTATTGCCGGTATAACAAAGCCATTAATACTTCCTGTCCACTCTGTTTTGGTGATAGCAGGCAGCTTGCAGAGTCTCGGCTGCACTGGCCAGATAACCAGTGACTGAGTGTGTCATGGCGGGTGCTAGAGTTTCACAGTTGAACCTAACTAATTTTTGAAACCTTAATGATTATAATGAGGCATTTTGACTTTCTAGTTCTGCACTCCAGGGTCTTTTACAGACTATCAAAACAGAAGAGGAATCCTCTGGTTTTTTAGGAGACTGAAGTAATCTTAACCCTTTATTAATTGGTTATCTCTAAGAAAATGATTACCATGTGATAACTCAGTTATCTTTTAAGTGGAAGGTAATGAGACAGTAGTATCTGTGAAGGCAGATGGGACTGCTTTTGCAGTACATTGAGCTTCCTTCCGAATGGCTGCATTATTGCCCGTGTCTGCACTGCAGTACTCCTCTGCAGGTCTCATCTGAGAATTCCCCTTTATTTATCTGGGGGCACGTCAGCATTCAGTTCCACTTTCAGTGTTTGCTTTAGATGTCTAACTCTACAAAGGACATTTTAGCAATGCAATTAAAATGAAGCTGTTGGTTGAAGAAGGTGCCCTATCACTTTTCTCAAGATGGCCTTTCTTTGCGACAGAGATGTGCTGTTGGAACTGAGGGAAAGTGCTTTACTGAGGAGCTCTCTTTGATCCTGCTTCTGAGGGCTCCATCCTCCGTATCTGAGAACATGCCTGTGGAAAATCTGCTGCGTGTCTCTCTGTGTGTCTACATGGAGCCCAGGGCTTCTCACTTAACGGATCCTGGGGAAGGAGGGATCAGGATAGCATCACGGATAGCATTTTAGAGCTTGGAATCAGCCTGCTTGGATCCACATCTTAGTTCTTGTATATAGTCTACTGTGTGACCTTAGATAAATGAGTTGCTGTTCAAAGCCTCCATTTCCAAGTCCATAAAATGGAAGTCAAGTGAGAGAATCCATGAAAAGATAGTTCCCTTCAGAAACCATAGGAATTCTCTTGCTTCTGTTTCAGGAGGACTATAGTTAATAAATAATAAATGCTAGCTGCCACAGTTTTCATTACTAATAGTAGCAATATCAACACGTGGTCCCTATTTTTCATTTCACTTTTTGTTTGAAAATTCCTATATTATTCTCAGCTCCGCCTGGCATTTGCTGAGCACCTGCACCAGCCTGTGGCAGGGACTGTGCTCCCAGTGATGGAGAGTGAGACACCATGAGCTCATCTCTCTCCTTAACACTTAGTCTAGTGGGTGTGTCTTCAGTAACAGGAGATGAGCCTCCAGTAGATATTTTGGTTTGTATTTCTCCTCCCATTTCAATCCTAGAATTTTTTTCATGAAAATATCTCAAACCGTTTATTGAGAAATCAGCACTAAGTGGTGAAAAAGGCTAGAACTTTTTTCAAAGCAGAACAGATATTTAAATACTTAGAAATTGCACTTTTATTATGCAACAGGAACCATGCTAGGCGTTAAGTATACAGTGGTCAACCTTGAACTATGATTTTGACAAATTTTTCTTTTCTTTTTTTTTTTTTTTAAAGAAGATACAACAGAGAAGGAGATTCAGAGAGAAAGGGCTTCCATCAGCTTATTCACTCCCCAAGTGGCTGCTGCAATGGCTGGAGCTTAGCTGATCTGGAGCCAGGAGCTTCTTCTGGGTCTCCCACATGGATGCAGGGTTGGTCTTGATGCTTTCCCAGGCTATAAGCAGGGAGCTGGATGGGAAGTGGAGTGTCTGGGACATGAACTAACACCCATTTGGGCTCCTGGCGCATGCAAAAGGCGAAGAGTTTAGCCACTGGGCTGTCATGCTGGGCTCTTGGCAAATTTCTTAAAACTTGTTAAGTTTATTTTTTATCTATTTTTAACTTATTTGTAATTTCACATATTTTATAATACAGATTTAGAAGCATGGGTATATTAAGGTGATTAAAAAGATTGGAAAAGGATTAAAGGCAAATCAGTGTCACTGTGGTGTTGATGTTGTGTTAGAGTTTTGTGATGGGTTTTTATCTTCCTGTTACCTATCTTTCTGTGGGTTATCTTTCTATTTTAGAGCTTTCTCAGAGAAGTTAAATAATTGGCTTAAGGATAATCCAGTTGATAAATTATGAGGAGATTTGAATATACTTCTTATATTTGAATATAAGTATATTTGAATATACTTCTTAATTGAAACCTATGCTTCTGTAATTTAGTAACCCCTCTTGAAGTTTTGAGATAATATATTTTTCCCAGCACTAAAGTATATGTGTGTGTATTTCTTCTTCTTCTTTTTTAAATTTCTTGTGTGTGTGTATGTGTGTTTGTATGTGTTTTAAACCTCCGGAGAACAAAATATCACAGGTTTGTTTTTTAGTAACCTGTACCAATGATTAGCATCTTTCACCATCCGATAGATCATATTTTTGCTTCATTTAAATATGTATAAAGTTGCAAATGCCTTGTTTATTACTAATATAAGCCCATTTCCTCTTCTCTTTTTTCTTACTAGAAATAGAGATTATCTGAACACTGTTCTGTTCAAAAACTTCATAACTACAAAGATCAAGACAAACCATTTAGGAATGAGAGAATCTGGGCTCCAATTGAGTTTTTGCCATAAACTACCTGTATGGTGCTGGACAAATCTGTTAAGCCTGTTTCTTTCTCCCATTTTCTTACAAAGTGAAAGTAACGATTACCTTACCTAATCATGGAAAATTTTTTGAGCACAACATAAATGATCATATGTAAAAATGTCTTTGTTTTACCAATTCATCTATTTTCTGTGACTGTTGGTAATTAATCGTGTTCATTTTATGAATGTATGTAGGAAGCACTGCTGCTTCCCTTCCATTACACATGGCAGCGGGTCATGCATTCTTTCTTGTTGAGTTTAGACGTGACCATTGCCAAGTGATAAAAAGTAGCAAAGGAATGGAAATGTGTATGCTATCCCAATACACATTAGTAAATAACACTTTATAATAACTTCCCAGGTTTTCTTCTACTTGAACAAATGTGCTGCCTATTACAATGTCAAGGACACAGAAAGATGCTCAGTACATCTTTGTTAACTAAATACATGAATGACATTGGTTACTTCCACCTTATTGACTATTCTTCACTGAAATTCCTAAGTTCTTGTGTTTTGTTTTATTTATTTATTTTTTTTTAGAAACCAGAGTTGAATACTACATGTGGCACATTCATAACTGTGTTTGGAACTTTGTAATTTGGGGGCAAACTATGTAGTACGTATTAGAAAAGAGCTTTCATAATAGTCCCCAAACATGAGGAAAGCATTTTGAATGTGATAGAGTATATTAAAATAGCAAGGAAAGTAGGAACCAGAAGCACAGATCATCCTTAAGTGCTTTGTATTTGACTTAATCATAAAGACATGTTTTTAAAGACCGAACTCAGGAATTTGTTAAGATTTTTCCTGTGTTCCTCTTACCCAAACACTTATTCTTGCCTAAAACTGGAGACAGATGTTACTCTCCCTTTCTCTCAGAATAAGCTACCCTCTCACTTTTAAAGCCTACTGTAATTTTATTTCATAACTTGTTTGCATTTTATTCTGTGGAATAAGTGATTAATTGCTTGGTTCTAAAAGGCCATCGTTTGAGTCATAGGCCTGAAAGGCAAAAGTGAGTAAACAGCTTGGTCACCTAGTTTGATTAATTAAATAACCAAGAATTTAAAAATCATCTCTATAGGATACTTAGTCAGCTGTAATAAAACAAATTGAATCACAGTTGGTGCTTGCTGAGATCCATGTTAAGTGTTCCATTATTTTGCCTTAAAGGGCACTGCTACATTGCTAACTCCTAATCTGGATCTTAGGGTGTTTTCTTTCTTTCTTTTTTAATTTTGAATTTTATGGTACAACTCCACGGGGGCGGGGGGAGAGGGAGGATATTTTCTTGATGTTTTCTCCTTTGATGTTAGAAGCTCCCTTCATTTTTAAGCCACATTTTCTTTCATTTTAGTTATTTTTTTTCTGATTGGCAATATTAACCCATTTTTTGTGTTGATTATTATTCAATAAATTTACTTCTCTTGCATACATCGAAGATGAAAATGTTAACCTTTAGACTACCCGACTAGTTCACCAACTACTGCTACAGTAAATAGTACATGATTTCTTGTATTAACACCCAACACATTGATAATTATTCTGTTATCAGAATGCCCTGTTAGGTGATATGGACTATATTTTCCTAGTATATTGGTGATTAAATACAAATACTTGGTAAGTTCATTCTAAAATTTTGCTAAAATTAAGAGAGTACTTAGATTACTTCTCTTTGATCTACCAAAGCTGTCATTTTATTAAAATAAGTCAATTAGATTAGTTTGGTCAGACTTGCTCTTCATAAAAGATGTTGATTATTATACTCTGGGTGTCTACAAGTGGGTTTTGTGATGTTTTTCTTAGATAGACAAGTACATTTTGCAAATCATTGGGCCAGTGTTGTGGTGCAACAAGGTAAGCCACTGCCTACAGTGCTGCCAGTTGGAGTCCCAATTGCTTCACTTCCAGTCTTGTTCCTTGCTGTGCCCTCTGAGAAAGCAGCAGAGATGCCCAGGGATTTGGGTCCATGTGCCTCATGGGAACCTGGATGCGGTTCTGGACTCCTGATTCGGGCCCAGCTCTGGCCACTGTCGCCATTTGGGAAGTAAACCAACAATTGAAAGATCTCTTTCTGTCTCTTCCCTCTCTCTGTAACTCTACCTTATGTATAAATAATTTTTTTAATGAAAAGAATAGAAAGTTGTTGGTTTACATTCCTTTTATCATCATTTTTTAAAGCACAGCACCACACTGACCTTTTTTTCAGTTTTCAGCAGTTTCTGTTCCTTCAGTGAGAAGTGGTAACTGACTTTATTGTGATTTCAATCCACCCACTTAATGTAGTCATTTCTGTTGATTTATTTATGGTGCCGGGAAATGAAAGTCTCCAGGGCCAGCTTAGGTGAATGTTTCAGGTGAATCTCTCTATGCCAATGCAATTCTTCTTTAGTTCCTTGTCCTTATAGCTGTTGTTGACTTTTTTTTAATTGTCAAAGCTAAAGTTGATAGATGCTTTTGAAATGCAGTCTGTCAGTATTATCTGCTTCCCTTTCTCCAACAGCATGTTTCTTTACCGTCAGTCAATACATTTTTTTCACTTTTTTTAATTCATTTTCTTTGTAGATATTTTCAGATGCCAAAATAGTGGAAAATATGCTGTTTAGCAATAAAGAATCTGGGTTCCAACTTCAGTTCTTTCACTGATTTTGTAATATTTGTCAAGTCACTAACGCGTCCCAAGTTTCTTTCCGAGATGAGGACAGTGTTTCGTCCCACCCTGTATTTCTCTCTTCATGTTCTATGTTTTGAAATGTGCTCCCACGTTTTTACTATTTGTATTGTGTGTGCTTCTTAATTTGTCTCTGCTACTACTAGTTTTCTCATGACTTGCCACTAGAATTTCCTCTTATGTTTATATATATTTGATAATAGAGCTACCTTCTTTTATTAGAAAGGATTAGCACTAGGATAAGAAATGTTTCAGAATTCTTAGATTCTCAGATTTTAGGATGGTAATATGACATCCCTAATAAGTATTTCATAACACCAAAACCAGACACATCAACATTAAAATTTCTGCAGACTATTCATTCACATTGAACAGGATATCTGAAGATTATAAATAGCCTAATAATCTTGGATGTGAGCGTCCCACCACAAATGTGTTTGGGCCCAAAGTTGGGAGGAAAAACCTTGTTTTCAAAAACTCATTTGACTGTGGCATTGTTGATTATGGGTCCTGTCCTGGAGTTCTTTAGTTTTCCATATTACCCTACAGACTTGTCTCCAACCTTACTGAAAAATTTAATAATTCACTTTTCTGATGTCTTCACCTTTCCTTGGAGTGCAGAACCAGATTTTTATTGATTTCATCAAGAGTTGCCTTCACATCTCTTCCTAAGTTCTTTGTGTTCATAAGATCCAAACCACATTGCCTTCCTAAGGGAATCCTGGAGTCCTTTAGCCAAGGCAGTTAACTTTCACATTGTCCCCTGGAGAACCCCAGCCCAATGCGAGCCTTTCTTAGAGCTCAGTCACAGGGCGTTACATTAATCTGTCTTGGTTGGCAGCTGGCCTACGTGCCCCCCCAACCCCTCTTCCATTTTTGTCTCTCGTAATTTTGCTGCTATATTCAGCTAATGCCACAAGATGGTGCCCAAATAGCAGCAGATTTCGCTCATATTTCCAAGTAAGTCAGCTAAGCTTCCTGAGCAATGTCTTGGTCATTAGAATACAGGCAGTAATAGTTCAGGAATGTTATAAGGAATTCAGTTGATAGGGAACAGTGTCAAAATAGTGTTAACTCTAAACTTTGATTTCAATAATCCTCCTGGTTCATGACAAGGTCTTTAATAGACATCAGTTTGGAACAACAGTCCTTCAAAGGAAACATTTAGGTTACAACAGACATGGTGTCAAGATAATTACCAACCCTGAAATTAGAATTGGTTTTGTGGCACCTAATGCGCTCCTGGGCAGCTAAACCATGTATGTTCTATATTTTCTTAGGTCTTGGTGAAAATGTTAAATGAAGAACCAAGCTTCCATACTAAGAATTTGGATATGGATTGCCCAGATTTGTACACTTCTTTTTATTTTTTCCTTCATTGGAAATTTGTATTCCAGAATATTCGTAACTCTTGAAAGTACTCAGACAAATATAGAAGTCTGGTTTGCCTCTGAAATGCTTTTTCAAAAAGATGTAACAGGGAGATGTAAATAAGGCTTACTGGCTGCTATTTCCACTTGAACAATAAGATAGCAGAAGAATATTAAAACATACTCTTTGGAAAAATCATAATAATAAAAATACTCTTGATCCTTACTGAAATATTTATAAGGATCAGTAAATGAACAATACTGAAACATGAAGCATTTTAAAAACAATCAATACAAATAACGTATCAGCAAAACTAGACTAGGTCCTACAGGATTCTGACTTATTCCATATACTTTTAATTTCTATTAGTTCTACAGCTTTTTTATTTTTAATATATAATAGTAAAATGTAAAGATTTACCAGTAGTATTGATTCCACTTAGAACACAGTGGGAAAGTTGAAGACATTAACCCTTGGAATTAGGTAAGATGAGTCCAGGATATTCACCTGTCTCATTATTTAAGTTGCCTTGTTAATTTGCTAGTTGTGTGAAACGCATAACCATGTTTAAAACTTCTCTTTGTTTACAGAGAGAAAACGATTGGAAGCCAAGCAACGAGAAGACATTTGGGAAGGCAGAGACCAGTCTGCAGTTTGAATGTCACCCAAAGAAGGAAATAATTTCATGATTGGAAAATGTTTTCTTAGGCTTCAGATGAGAGGATCTTTCCAGAGCTCTGTGCACATGCAGGTGTGCCCATTATAGAGTTGAAAGTGATGGAGCAAAGACTGACTGGGTATATAAAGAAGACAGATACCTGTCTTCACTCCTAAAAGCAGTTCTCTAGAATGTACTACTGTGGTGGGAGTGGAAGGGAGCTGTCACCCAGGGAGAAATATGGAACGTTTGGCTTCCACGAGTCCTCTGGACAGTGTAAGTCATGTTAGCATGGTTCACCAAGATAATCTGGAAGAAAAGCAGAGAATTCATATCTGCAGTGATGGGAGAGTCAGGCCCCACACAAGGCAGAACCTTCCCTAGTATCTCGCAGAACTGAAAACAGCAATATGGGGCATAGGAGGGGAGCAAGTAAGGAACATTCACTACAAAGAGAGAGAATAGTGTATGGTGGACATGGGATACACAGAATCTGCACTGCCAGTTCCAGTACGCCAAAGTCGATGAAATGCAGCCGATGTGGGTATTTGGACTCCAGCGTCTGTATTGAACTAAGTGTCTGGGGCTGCCCAGGCTGCATAGCAGCTAGTGCCAGCTTCATTACTCATAGTAAGCCAACCTTGGGAGCTGAGTGCCAGTTTCAGTTTAAACAGTGACATCAGGTTGTAAGAAGGAGACATTAAAGCCCATTTTATGATGTATACACCTCTGATATGTGTCAGTCTTATCATTTTCACAAATAAGAGAACAGTTCTCTTCCTGCCTTACTAAACCCACTGAGTGGAGAGCTAGTCATCTCCCTGTTCCAGCACATACTGTGAAAGTGACCGCTCCTGGATGGGTATGTGGTAGCTCCTCTCCCCTTATCTTTTTGGGCACTCCTTCCCCAACCTATTGCCTTTTCCCATCTCTGTCAGGTCTTAACATCCTGCAGAAAACATGTGGCCCACAGAATGTTCTTGGTATGCTCTCCATAGCCTTGCCAGAGTCACCTGGCAAGAAGCATCAGCCCATCCGTCGTAGTGATGAGCAGCCAGGATAAAATAAACATCCCTAGGCAGCGAGAGAGACTTCCTGAAGGACATGGACAAGTCAGAACCCCCAAATCAGCCGCTACCCATCTCATATCTGCATCCTCAGTATTTGGGGAAAGTAATTCTGCACTCAAAAAATGGCAGTGCTAGACCTTCTGTGCTGAGGTGGCAAGAAGTAGTGTCCCACTCTTAAACTTGGGCAGGAGTTTCATGCTGTGATTTAGTAACCATGACTGATGGATCATCAGCATTGCTTATAACATGGGAGAATGGGGCTCAGCTCAGATATTCCTCAGCGGACCCCAGACTTGGGTCTTAGTCCTGACCCACCTATTCCTGCTGCTAGTCCAGTCTGATAGGCTTCTCACTGTTTCCTAGTATTCTCATCCTTGGTCAGTTCTGCCAGCTTTTTTTATTCTCTTTTGTTGCTTCCATGTCAAGCTTGGGGGACTAAATAAGTCATTCTGTTGGTTCTCTGTCTCTATAGCTAAGACCAGGGCCCCCTCTTTAGCTAACAGCTGCAGAACTTGTGCTCACTATTTTCATAGAACAGACTTTGCTATCATAGGTAGATGTCTTGGGCAGTATGGCTGCATTTGAAAGATAAGATAGGGAGCTGCAGCATGGCTTCATAGTTAGTGGTATACCTCTGATGTAAACCCTTGTTCTGTTTTGATTCTTCTACAAGTCTAACAGTGGCCTTGAGCAGCGATGAAGAGATGACTGTCCCTATCACTTCCCCGAGATGGGGCTTCCCCCCTCTGACTGTATTTAGCTTTGAAGAACATTGTTGATGGTATACATAGTCCCAAGTTTATTCTCCACATTTTTAGTAGTTCTCATGATTTTGCGAAATTACTTTTATTATTTTTATTTTCATTCTAATACTCTGTACCAGTAGCCTGTTCCCCTTTTCATTTGATAATCAGCAGAGAATGCTCTTTAGTTACAGTCTCCAGTAGTTTGGGTTGATCTACTGGAGATGAGACAGTCTACCCAGTACACGTTACCTCAGGCTTGTCCAAAGGGGAACCAATCTGGCCATATCTAAACCCATGTCTTCATAAGCTGACTTAGTTGGAAAGTGTCCAATAGCTGTTCCTGGCTCCATTGTGGGATATCTAGGAAGACAGTTAATACAGTCTGCTGGTCATGTAACATTTCATGTACATGAAACATCTAAATCCATGATCACCTGGAATTTATAGTAGAAAGGCATACTCCCCATGAATCCTAATATAGAACAGAGGTAGGTTAGGCTTCTAATGAGTTAGTGGAGGTTCCTAGCATTATAATGTCACAGACTAAAGTATGCAAAGTAAAAGTCTTCTGAGGTTTTGGGTTCTGTTTGGGATTTGTCGATTGAGATTCTGTTAATATCCCTCATCTGGTGGTAAGCTCTGCCAGCCGTCAGTCTTCCCATGGTCTTCCCTTCCAACTCAGAGGTATAACAGCACAACCTTTGTGCAGCTTTTTCCAGGAATTAGAACTGGCTGCACCCATCAGACGTGAAGTGGGCAGCAAGACTGACACCAGAGCTGATGGCTCTCTGCCTGGTCTGCTTTTTGTAGCCCTCTTGGAAACCAGATCCAACGAGAAGCTGAGGGTAACCTCCATACCCAAACCTAGTCAGCTCTTGCCACACCTCACCCATGAGCTGCGCCTCCCTGCACAGGCCAGTAGCTGCATGTATGAGTATAATGTCGTTACTGTTTGGAAGGTGTTTGCTGAATCCAACAGGAAATCAGTCCTTCCCTTGTTTACCTAAACTGCCATGCCAAAATATAATGCTTCATTTGCCTAAGGAAGGAGATGAAGAGTGAGAGTAGGTAAAGGAAAAGGGAGAAAGCACTCCCTTGTATTCATAGAGGAAACCCTAAGAACATGTCTTTTTTTTTTACTTCCTAAGGAAAGGGCAATTCTTAGGATATGGGGAGGGGAATGCTGTTATGAAGTTACCTGGTACCCTTCCTTCTGGCTTTGGAACCTCTGTTACAAAAGTTTCCAATCCTTAGTTTTCACCTTTGTTGTTCTTACTTTTCATCTCCTAGCCTTTCCAACCCCTGTTTCAGCCTTGAACCTGGGAAGGGTAACTGGGAAGTAGATAATAGGATAATACCTGATTTGAGAAACCTCCTGGAGTTGTCATGAGTACTTTATATGTCATGTGCTGTGAAAAAGGGTAGAGTTAATGTGCTGGCAACCACAGCTGCTCTTGTTTTCATAACGGTCCATAATGAGCCACCTTTATTGACAGTAGGGGGTCACACCTATAAGGATCATTTTTTTTTTTAAAGATTTATTTTTATTATTTTTTCATTGGAAAGGCGGATATACAGAGAGGAGAGACAGAGAGGAAGATCTTCCATCCGATGATTCACTCCCCAAGTGAGCGCAACGGGCCGATACTATGCCGATCCGAAGCCAGGAGCCTCTTCCGGGTCTCCCACGCGGGTGCAGGGTCCCAAAGCTTTGGGCCGTCCTCGACTGCTTTCCCAGGCCACAGGCAGGGAGCTGGAAGGGAAGCGGGGCTGCCGGGATTAGAACCGGCGCCCATATGGGATCCCGGGCGTGCAAGGCGAGGACCTTTAACCACTTGCGCCACCGCGCCGGGCCCAAGGATCATTTTTTAAATGTTTCTCAAAGGAAAAAGAAATCAAGAATCATGTCCAAGATGACCACGGAATTTTATACCTGAGCAAGAGCATAGTGCAGTCATGCCAAGCAGGGTAATGGCTTTTCCTTGGTTCAATCCTTGACTAAGCTAAATCTTCCCCCTTCTGATTTCTCCAGTCTTTCACCCCTCACTCTATTATCAGACCTGTATTCATGTTCCCATAGAGATGAGTGGCTTGATGGACCGATGTTCTCTCCGTTACAAAAACTCATTCAATGCAAAGTTCTTTGGTTGAGATCTGAAGTCTAGGCCAATCCTGAACCGCGTGGTGGTCCTGAGAGGGACCAGATCATCTTCAGGTCATACAAGACTTTGTTTTCCCCTTGATAGGGCCCTGACAGGGGCTGAGGTCCCTATTACCTCCACGGTCTTTCTGCTTAACCACCTTTTGCTGCCCTGCACAAAAGACCTGTCTGGCCATGAAGCTTGTCCCTCTCAAGCGCTCAGTAACTGGTGATGTTGTTCCATCAGGAGGTCAGGGTCTGCCTGAGGCCTAAGCTTTCATGGGTGGTAGGAACACCCCTGTGTGCAACAGGATAAAGTTAAGACTGCTGAAAAAACAGACTCTTAGTAGAGGGGAGTTCTGAATGGGGACCAGTACAGGGAGGGCTAAATGCATCAGCTTTGCTGGTACTTGTGACTCTGACACAGTGTTGCTCTGTGCTGCTAGCGGTGAGATAACCCCTTCTCCTGGTCTCCTGTGTATTCGAGTCCTCTCTTCTCAAATCCTCCAAGTCATTCACAAGGAACCACTTAGATGGGGCATTGGTCCTGAATCCAGAACTCTGGCAAGATCCAGGAAGGATTAGGTCTTGTGGAAGAGAAGCTCAGCTGTCCAAAGCATGGAGGCCATAGGCCACAGGCCCTTAGAGGAGAGAGGCCCATGGCTACCCTAAGGGAGCAGTACCATCCTGGTTTGGTCATCTTGACTTCAAAAGGCTTCCTGAGCAGATTCTTGGTGTCCCTTGGCCCCGGCCCCGTTGCCTGTGAATGAGGCATCTGTGAAGGACATGGCTCCAGTCAGCTGAGGTATCTGGTGTTGATATGTGGGCAGCAGCTAGGAGTGTGCAGGAATGGCTTCAGATGAGGTTGTTCCTGAGTCTCTGTTCCTGCTCCAGGGAGAGCTCTGCATTGGCTCGGTATGAATCTCCTGTGGGCCAAAGAAAAACAGCTGAGTGGCCCTGCAGGTCACAGCCCCATTCTGCCCAGCTTACCCTTAGAATCAGTGAGGCGCACACACACACACCATACATTCTATAGAGTCGGCCCTGGCCAGTGGTGTGCTTTCAGACCACCAGGAAGATTAGACTGTTCTGTGAGCAGGGTGCGGGTGGTACTGGTTCTTCTCCTTTGCCCACTCCCCCAGACTGATTTTTTGACTTTTACTCTATATTTTGAGCCCTAGAGGACATTGCCCTGGCTCCTTGTCCTTTGGCTTCTGAAGCAACAGCTGGAGGTTTAAGAGGATGAAAAGGGAGAGAGATTGGGCATTTCTTCCAGAAGCGACAATCTTGACTCCAGCTCCATCTTGATTCACCCTCTGTCCTGACTTGAGCCTTCTGTCTCCAGAAAACTCTTCACCCCTTGAAGCCCAAAAGGAGTGATAGTGTTTCACTCTTGAAAAAGAGGTTTCAACATTCCTTGTTTCCTTGGTTCCGTGCATTCCTCTGTAAGGAGTCCTTTCATGGGGCCAGCATTGTGGCACAGTGGGTGAAGCTACCACTTGTAGCACTAGCATCAAGTCCTGGCTGCTCCCTGCTAGTGCACCTGGGAAAGCAGTTGAACATAACCCAAATACTTGGGCACTTGCTATACATGTGGGAGACCTGGATGGGGTTTCAGGCACTTGGTTTCCATGTGGGCCAGCCCCAATTGTTGCAACCGTTTGGTGAGTTCGATGGCTGATACAAGAGATTCGTTCTCTCTCCCCCTCTCTGACTCTGTCTTCCAAAATGATAAATAAATTTTATTTTTTTAAACAAGTCTTCATTAAGTAACTCCAGACTCTGAGCTTCTTTTGTCTGATACTCTCAATCCTGCCCCTCTGTCCATGTTCCCTGTGTCTCATAGCCGAGGTAGTAACACAAACCACAGAGGAGGACTATGGAATGGTGTCAGCTTAGGAAGGAGGAGAACTGAGAGCATTCAGGAGAGGGGAAATAATTGGCTGGAAAATCTGACATGGCTTGAGCTAACAGTAAAGATTCTAGAACAGACTAGAAACAATTTTACAGGTACACACCCTTGAGGGCAAACAAGTGTAGGAGTAGCTTTTTGGTGAAGTCAACGGTCTGACCAGTTACAGAAATACACCTGTGAAGATGTCAGAAGAAATTCATCTCTGGCCTACCCTTAGCCTTTTATGCACACATACAGGTCACACCCAAAGAACATTTTAGAGTCTTACAAAGTGACTCAGAAATACCTGTGTGGCAGTTGTGCAACCAAACCCGGTGTCCATCATATTTACAGCGACATCGCATCATATTGTTGGAGAAATCGGACTCTGCCACCTCATATTTGGGGTTCACAACCACCTGGCATGGGGGGGCACAGTTGAAAAAGGGTGATTGATTTGATTTCTAGGTGAGTTGGCCAGGTGTAACATCTCCCACATCTCATGTTGTATGCACTTTGTGTGTTTCTGTTCTTTGCTTCATTAACATCACCGCAGGAATAGGTATTAAAATGCCTGTTTTACAGAGAAAAGCTGTGATCCTCGTAATGTCTGATGAACTAGAACTCAAACCCAGGTCCTTTGGATCCCGAGTGAGTGTTCTTTCCATGACAGCACAGCTCCTTTAAGTGACAGCCCTATTGGAGACGACATGGGAAGCTCTCTGCCCTCATTTATGTCAGGGAAAATGTGGGGATGTCTGGAGAAACTGAAGTTCCCGTGGGAAATTGCCTGGAATCCTTACCTGAAAGATATAGTCCCCCGGACCCACGTCCGTGATATCCACCCACTGGCAATCGATGTCATGCCGGTAGGTATCCCAGCAGCCGACAGTCACTCCCTGTTCTCCAAAGTTGGCACATGCATAGCGCCGCTGCAGTCCTGTAGGGAAGGGTGTAGCTGAGGCGCTGGGAAGCACTTGAGCCCAAGCACTCTGCTAGGTCTTTCAGGCTCTCATTTAATTTTCACACCAATTTGACCAGCTCAGTTCAGGTAGGCTTGGTTCACAGATTATATAAAGACCTGAGGCTTCATTAAACGACTGGCATGAATATTGGAGCCGACATTATTACTAACTGAAATCCAACACCACAGTAAGTCACCTCTGTGACAGATTGCTACTTTGGATGCTACAGTGAAAATCTCTTGTTGGTCTAGGAAATGTGATTAAAAGATTCCAGCGTAGTAGCCTAGTGGCTAAAGTCTTCACCTTGCATGCGCCAGGATCCCATATGGGCACTGGTTCATATCCCAGCTGCCTCACTTCCCATTTAGCTCCCTGCTTTGTGACTGGGAAAGCAGTAGAGGCCGGCCCAAAGCCTTGGAACTCTGCACCTGTGTGGATGACCTGGAAGAAGCTCCTGATTCCTGAGTTCGGATCAGCTCAGCTCTGGCTATTTTGGCCACTTGGGGAGTGAACCAGCAGAGAGAAGATCAATTCTGCCTTTCCAATACAAATAAATCTTAAAAAAAAAGAAAATTCCAGCCCTACTAGACTGATCAATGTATCTGTCTCCATCATTCAGTGCATCCAACCCTCTGAAGTTCAGTGTTCACCATGCCATTCCTGAGGGCTAGGAACTTTGGACATGCCAATCCAAATCAAACAAACTGTCCTCAGCAGAGATGACAGAGCCACAATTACTAGCTAACAAAGATGGTGTCAAGCATTTTAAAAGTGGTGCCAAGTGTGTCAGGAATTCATAGGAAGTAGAGACCTTTCATCTAAGATCTCGGGATGTAAAAAATGGGTGATTATTATTATTCGTGTCATTACCTGGAGTGCTGTTCCCAAGCCACATCACAGGGTGCCAGGGCCATTGGAAGGGGCTGAGGGGAGCCTGACCCCTCAGGGGCTAAGGGACATAACGAGGAGGATATGCTGACAAGAAGCTAGGTACCTGTTGGACAGTTTGTGTCTTCTAGACAGAAGCTGGCTTTGTGCCCCTCAGCCACCTTGGAGCCATTGAGAGTGAGTAGATCATAGTGGGTGAAGACCTCGATGCTGTGGTAGTGCCTGTGGAAAAGGCAGAGCCGTCAACCCGACATGATGGGAGTTGGCAGGGAAGACCGAGGCACTGGGCCCTGTCGTCACCCACCGTGGAAAGTGACAATAACAGGACATTGCGCTTCTCCCACTACACCAGGGTTGGTGTGGTCCACTACCTGCTTTGTTCCCATCACCTAATGCCTCGTAGGAGGAAGGGACGCCTGGCACAACTGGCCGCAGAGCTGGACTCCTGGCAGGGGAACTCTGTTCCCTGTGAGCCTGGGACTAGACTGCTGCCATTGACTCCAATCCAGCTGTAATGACAGCTCTGTTCATGCTATGAGGAGGAAGGTGCCTGTTGGTTTCGGGCAAGGCCAGGTCCCCAAGTCTGCCCATTTTCCACCCACAGCTGTGTATTCTCTCCTCCTGTCAGGCCTGGAGTCTCCTGATAGGAAAGAATGTTCACTGTTTCCTTTTTAGTACCTGCCTGTTAGTGCCTTTCTCTCTGCACTTGCCTTGCTGCTGCAGGAACCAACACATTTCTCTGCAGAGCCAGGGTCCTGGATGGTGTATCTGTTTTTGAGCCTCCCGCTTTCTGCAAGTTCTTGCTTTGTTCACCTGGCTTCTAAAGACAAGGCCTAAACCCAACATAAGGGGGAAAAAAAAACTGTTCAATACTGTTCTGAATGAGCACAGCTTCTAGCAGTATCCTCAGCGGGACACTGTTGAGGGAAACAACCCTCGTGCACATCATCAACATGGTTTCATCCAGGTAAGGCAACACATGGAGAGAACCAGCAGATGCTACTCTAATTCCCTGACTGCCTGCCTGGACAAGGTCAATATGTCTGGGAAGGAAGACTGATCCAGAGTGCACACTCCTCCCAGGAAAATGTGCCTTTTCATGTCCTTAGCCCTCTACAGCCAAGAAGTAGGCAGACACCTGTGGCACTGGTGCCAAATCCAGCTGTGGCGGCCAGTCTTGGGACGGAAATCAGCTCGGCCCAAGTTGTAAATCTGGGATGAGAAGCGCAGTAGTCGTCGGTGCCCGTACGGCCAGTCCATGTGGTCAGCCGACTGGGAGAGGCATTTCTCCTCGTGGGCACAATACAGCAGGCTGAGCGGACGGTCTTCCAGGTAGGCTGTCTCCTGTACTAGCTGGGCGTTCATCACCAGGTCCGGAGCACCTGGGCGGCACAGAGTGGCAGTGAGACCAAGGGTAGGAAAGCAGTCAATCCTGATCTGTGTGGAACACAGGCTCGTCCCCAGACTAAGTTCTCTGGGAGGTCTCTGGACAAAAGGACAGTTTAGGATTCAGGAGATGAGTTTTAGTAACAACAGAAGGAAAAACCAATCACTCTAGCCTAAGAGGTGCCATGGTTAAGCTTGCTGGCCTCAGAGCCAGGCTCCCTGGGTTTATTCTGGCTTAATTTCTGACTCTGCCATTAACGAGCCCTTGTAACTGTTTAGCCTTTTTGTCATTTTTGTTATCTGTAAGATACAGATCATGATCATGCTATTGATAGGGTAATACCTATGATGTGCTTAGATCAGTGTCTGGCCTACAGGAAACATGCAGTTAGTTTGAGCCAGTATTTCTGTGTAAATGTTTTTCAGCCTATAAAAATATCTCATCGCATCCTGGCAGGCCTGCTGCTGCCCAGCTTGGTGTTTCTCAGGGTCTCAGTTCCTTTAGTGTAAGCCACCGGGAGAGAGCAACGGAGGGCGGAAGGGAGAAGAAGGGTCTGACCCTGCCTGCTCTAGTCTATCCTGCAGCTCCCAGGTCCGTGCTGACTCCAGGGCGCCTGTTCTGACTTGATCATCCCAGCTGGCCCATCACAGCTCTTCCTAGGCATCCTGGGCATTTCTGAAGCTTCCCTGTGCCGGTGCCTGGGGCAGGGGGCTCAACATGGGGCTCAGCAGGCAGCTCAGGGCCTCGTCCTCTGTTTCCCCTGTTTCAGGGACCCCTGCCCTCCCCTAAAGCCACATGGGTCTCTACCGTCTCTGGGCCTCCACGTGTCACAGAAGTGTGCAGCAGCGAAATTGTTGGAACAATTATTACTAAATACCTAAATAATACTAAATACCTAAATATTACTAAATATTAAATAATACCTGAATTATTACTAAAAATGCTGTCAAATTTTTCATGACATGTGTTGGAGAGAGTCAGGATATGCCCACTGACCCTAGAGTTCCTGAGGGGAAGGAGGAGGGCTTTCAGGGAATGAGCAAGTCAAAGAAGGAAATGAGGAAAGTCAGAGGGGCAGAACGGGTGACTATGGAAGCTGAGATACCCAGCTGCTGGCAAACATGAAACACATTCAAAAAAGCTGCCACCTCAGAGGGTGTAACAGGCAAGGATGTCAGGTTCCCAGGGGGTGGTCCTCCTGTGCCTGGGAGGCCCACTCTCAGGCCAAGGGTGCATTGTGTGGCCTGGTGGTCTTTCCAGGCTGAAGTGGACAAATGTTAAGTCTGGCTGTGAAGGTTAGGTGGCCACTTGGGTTGGGGCCAGCCCATGGCCTTCACACTAAGCCTAGTTATCTTGGACATGATTGGCAGATGTCAAATAGGTGCTGCTGCCCTGAGAATCTGTGCGTGGGGAGGGGAATCATCTGTGCCACAAATGGTCTCGCCCTAAAGCCTTTGTGATAAATCCCACCACTCCGGGAGAAAACACAGTCGGGCCTTGGGTGGCTGGGGCCCCTCATGTTTGCTATCTTCCACAACAATTTTCAAAACTTTTTCCTCACCACAATAAATTTTCTGTTGTAACCCAACACACACACATGACCCCAAGAAAAAAAACACCACCATTACCAAATATACTCATGTTTTCTATTCTGTTTTGCAACTGTTGGCCATAACCTTGGAGTTGGGAAAAAACAAACAAACAAAAACAAAACAAAACAAACTTTTGTGTCCTTACATTTTCACCTACTCTATTTTCATTCTCACAGTAACTCTAAGAGGTGGCATGGCAGGGCTTGTATCCTGATTTAACAGGTGACTTAGCCGCACACCATGGGGAAATGGCAAAGCTGGTGATTCTGCTGCCCTGCTCTGCCGCCATGGAGCTAAGATTGGCATGGAAGCCCCACCCCACCCCGGGAAGCCCCTCCCATTACTCACTGTTGGTGCAGGAGACTCCAGCTGAGAAGCGCCCGCTGCCATGGGAGCAGTGCACTGGGCCGTGCCTCTGACACTGCTGCAGAGCCTGCTCTGTGCCCAGGCAGCTCACCCCACTCATCACCACTTCTCCAGCCCCTGGGCTCCCCTGCCAGTACCAGGTATCCTAAGGAAAGAGGATCACCCCGTCAGAGCCGAGCGGAACCTCTGGAATCATCTCTCTGGCACTTCCATGAGGCTTGGATCTCTTTAGAACACTCTGTCTGGAGCAGGCCCAGCCCTTCCTGAACATCCTGAACCCCAAGGAAGCCCTGGCCAGTTCATGTCACACTGGGAATCCCTGTGATATCAGAAAGCTCTTCATGTATGGAGGCAAAAGTCCTGTGAGCGACCTCCATTTGGCCCTGACCCCAACCCTCTTCAGGGGACAACCCTTTGCTATTGGAAGAGGACAAACGTGTGCCTTCCTCACATGCCCAGATGCTGTATTCCCCTCTTCCTCACGCTGCCCACACTATTGGCTGTGCTCTGGGTTGAGCCCAGTTCTCCAGGTGAAATCTGCCCAAGCACTGGCCGGCAGCCCCAGGAGGGTACAGAGCCTGGGTTTTCTCCATTACAGCCGCGCCCCTTGGTTTGTTCACTGGGACTCTTTGGGTCTATCCACTTATTTCTTCCCAGGTTGCCATTAGCTTGCTGCAGTCCAACATTGTTTTTTCATGCCTCCTGAGTATGCATCCCTTCCTCCGTGTTAGTCTCAGCTGTTTTCCAAACAGAGGAAAAAAGGCATTTAAAAAGCTAAAGTGCAGGCTTTGAATGGTCTTCCTCCTCTCCACCTGTCTGCTTCATACCTCTCTCCCCCTAATTTCTTCAATCAAATCAAGCTTTCCCCAAGTACAGGGTCTTTACCTGGGCCAACTATTCCTGCTCTTCCCCTGTTTATCGGTAGCATATACCTGATTGTGTGAACATTTTATTAACGACTGCCTCCCTCAGTGGACAGCATGCTCTGTGAGGCAGGGACTATATCTTGTTTACCACAGAATCCCCAGCACCCAGCATTACATCAGCCCATAGTTTTACTCAATAATGAATTGTTGGGGCCAATGTTGTGGCATAACAGGTAAAGCTGCTGCCTGCAATGCCAGCATCCCATGAGTGCTGGTTTCAGCCCCAGTAGCTCTACTTCAATCCAGCTCCTTGCTACTGGCCTAAGAAAAAGCAGTGGAATATGGCCCAAGAGTTTGGGTTCCTGCATCCACATAGGATACGGGAAGCTCCTGGCTTCAGTCTGGCCTGGTCTGGCCATTGGGGTATGAGCTAGCAGATAGAAGATTTCTGTCTCTTCCTGTCTATCTCTGTAACTTTGCTTTTCAAATAAATAAATAAATATTTTTAAAAGAAATTTAAAAAATCATGAATTGTTGAATGAATAGGTGAAGGGCCAACAGCTCCAGAAGAAGTTTTGACCCTCTTGATCTAGGAGACTCATACTCTGTAGAGAAAGAGCGAGACAGGAACCTACCTTGATGGCATGGTTGGCAAAACCTAGGCCAAGCTGTCGGCAGACCACCATGGCTTCACTGAGTCCCCAGTGGTCACTGCACACAGTTCCCCAGCGCTGGACACCGTTCACCTCCACCTGTACCTCCACGATGCCTTCTTCAGGGCTACGCCCACCAGCCAGGCGCACCTGCAGTGGTCACAGGTAAGTGAGCCATGGGAGGGCCTGAGTGAGAACACAGGCCTGTGAGCTGATTCCTGCTCAAGCCACCTCACTGCGGGTACCCAAGACTGGACCGTTCTCTGACTTGTGTCTTCCATAAAGGAAGGGCGGTGTACTAGCTAGTCTGTATGTTCCCCCTGTTACAGCAACCTGACTTGAATTACTTGAGCAAGGGGCTCTTGCTGTCCTACCAGAAGTCCTACCACACATGAAGATTCAACTACAAAATGGTTTCATGTCCATCTCCTCCTGTCCTCCTCCCCCCACAGTGATCCCATGAGAGAGAGGTAGCCCCATTTTACAGGATACCAGTGACTTGCCCATAGCAACCCTGAGCATCCCATACAGCTCTGGTACTGCCAGCTGTGGCACTCTCCCCTAGTCACTTTCTTACCTTTACAGGGCCCCTGAAACAGCAAGTGGGAATGTGTGACACTGGCAGAGTTCAGGGGTCCCCTGACATCTCTGAGACCGTGGGCACGGTCAGGTTGGACTTCCAAGGAAAGCAGACTGTTTCCAAGGGAGCCCCTCTGTGCTAGCACGACCCTCTGCTGGGTCCATGCGGTACCTAAGGCCAGGCTCGGTCCTACCTGGTTCTGGAAACCCACGTCGGGGATGTTGCACTTGACGGCAGCATCGTTCTCATGTTGACAGCCATTCTGGGACCCTTCGAGGGCCAGGCAGTCACTGAGGGTACGCTCGTATCCTCTGCAGCGCACCTCGCTCAGGTGGATGGGCCCCAGCCCTGTGTGGAGAGAGGTGCAGGGAGGCTCCAGCCTTAGAGCTCCATGCCTGTGGCTTCCCCTCCAAAGAGCAGGGTATTCTCCTGTCCTGGGCCCTGGCATCCCAAGGCCACCAACAGCTAGAGCAGTAATACAGTCAGATTCTTCCCCACCCCAGGCTGGGCCCCCTCACTCACCTTGGCCCAGTTGGGCCCCAAAGAGAGCCTCTCGAGCTGAGCCAAAGCCAAGCTGCCGGCACACGACGCTGGCAGACACGAGATTCCACCTGTGGTCACAAACTGTGCCCCACTGGCGGTTCAGGAGCACTTCCACTCGGCCCTCACCCACATGGGCCCCGGAGCGCAGGCGCACCCGCAGCTCCTGGGGGAGGAAATGTGCTTCAGTGAGGGCAGTCAGCAGGGGCTGAGCCACCACGGCCAGGGTAGGGCCTCTAACTACCTACAACGGTCACCTGGAATACCATTTTTCTCCACCCTGTTCCTTCAATGACAGTTAAATACCCCAGGGTCATCAGTGTGGTACTAGATGCTTCTATAAACACCTCACTAGCACCTGTCATCTGCTTTAAAAGAAAAAAAAAGGATTTATTTGAAAGTTAGAAAGTTAGAGTTATGGAGAGAGGAGAGAGAGGGTGCATGCCATCTGATGCTTCACTCCCCAGACAGCTACCATAGTCTGGGGGCTAAGTCAGGCTGAAGCCAGGACCTTCAGTTGGGTCTCCACATGGCTGGCAGGGACCCAAGAATTCAGGCCATCTACCTTCCTGTGTGCATTAGCAGGGAGCTGGACCACAAGCGGAGCAGCTGGGATGCCAGTGTGTCACAAGCAGCAACTTAACCTGTTGCACTACAATGCCAGCCCACTTTTCTGACACCAATAGGCTGCTGCTGTAATTTAATGATTTTTTGTGTGTGGTTGTATTTTATTCTTGGTGGGTGGTGTTCACACTTTTAGATAAAGTCACTTTTAGATAAAGTGCAAGAGTGTACTCTTTTATGACCTGATCTCCTCCTCTCGATTCAGCTGTATTCTCTCCTGTCTGTCCCAGATCCCCCCATAGCCCCAGCAGCCCCCAAACCCTTAGGGCCCCTTGCGGCTCACCTCTTCCCTGGACTCCTTGCGCCGAGGCTTTGCCTTTGCGGAGCGGAAGCGGGGCCCTGCCACACAGTTGACCACAGCATGCATGCCTCCTGGGCAGGCCGGCCGCAGCTTGTCCCGCGGTGGAGCCACCTGCACTTGGCAGTTGGCCATGTGAGGCTCTGTGCCCTGACAGTTTACTCGGTGGATCCAGAAGGAATTCTTACTCGACAGGCCCTTCAGCCTGCAAGAGAGGGGTGACTGAAGGTGGAGGAGGGGCTGAGGGAAGAGCTTCCCAACTGCAGGAAGGTCAAGCTGGGGGCGCAGAGATGCCCCCTCAATCCCATACCCCTTGGCATCCTCCCCTGCGGGTGTAACTCCTCACCTAGACTTGGGATCCTTCATCTTCAGATTCCAGACTTTCCTGGGGTGAGAGAAAACGGATGAGGAGGGGAGGGGTGTGGAAGTCCCTACCCTCCGGGCTTCTTACGTCATCCTTCCATTTACATCACACTTTGTAGTACGTTGACTTGGTCATAAATCTTACTTTAATACTGAGCTTCATACCAATCCTGGTAAGTAGCCACTCCACAAATAACAATGATCCCATTTTACAGGGAAGGCAAGCAGGGTCCCCCTCAGCTAAAGTGGGTCTCTTTTTCTCCAGACTGCCCCTTGGCCAGGCAACTCAAGCTTGCCCCGTCCAGATGCAAGGGGACCTTCATGGAATGTCCTGAAATCAGGGGCCAGGGAAAGGTCCTTTGGGGACAGGTGGCAGTTGAGGGCCTTGCTTGGGGTGGGAGTGAGAAAGCTGCCACCCGGAGGACACCCAGGCTGTAATCATAGCTGCCCTTGTCATGGGTAGTGTGGTGAGTCAGCAGGACCCAGCTGTGCAATTACCCAGTAGTGAGGAGGAGCAGCTAGGGGCCTGCGTCACAGTCCTCCCCAGGGTTGGTGCCACGTGGCAGCCCCTCACCCCCTTTCTCTAGTCACACAACTGAGCGGCAAGGGCTCCCAATGCCCTAAATGTACCGTGACAACCCGAGGTGGGTGAACTGAGGTGATGGGGAGAGTTCGCACGCGTGTGGAGCTTCTGCAACTATGAAAGTGACTGTCATTTGTAGGGCTGATGCAATCTACTGTGGCAATGCAGTCCTATTTCTGACAGTTTATGCCTCCTCTCCCCAAAGCCGCCCCGCCACTTCTTGCTAACATGCAGTCCAATCACAGCCTGAATCAGAGCAGAAGACATGAGGGCCAAGTGGAGAACATCCCCAGTGGAATGGCTAATCAATGTCATACCAAAGGCCCCCAGCTAGTTACTGGCAGAGTTGAGACCAAAATATAGTAGGCCTAGGGGGTAGCTCTGCAAGTGTCTTCAGGAAAAATCTAGCTTTTGAATCAGGAACATGGCACTGTGCACAGTTCCCAGTGTCAGAGTGTCCTGTGCATGGCCACTTGTTTCTTTGTGACTGGTAAATACCGTTTGTTTTCTGCCTGGGCCTAGGTCTCTCCCAGGGTCTGTCCTATCAACAACTAGCCTGTTTGTCTCCCCCTTCCACACCTGCTCAGTGTCCTGCCCCAGAAACCCACACCTGCCAGCCCAACCTGCCAACCCTCACTGAACCCCATAGGGTCTCAAGGCCACCTACACATGCACATTCACACCTTAACTCTTACACACGTGCTGTCACATACTCATCACACATGTGCAGAACTCCTGCACATTCCACACAACTCACACATACACTCATGGGCATATCGCATGCCAACACTCATACACACAAATGCACACACCTCACAGACTTCTATGCATGTACATGTACTCCCAGCCAGCACCCTCTAATCCCACCACCCTCTCTCTTACCTGTAGTAGGGGCTGTTGACAGGCACCTCGCTGGGGAAGCCCAGCATCCCACACACCACCCTGCTGTTGTTCATGGTCCAGCCGTGGTCACACACCTGCCGCCAGTGGCCCTCGTACTTCACCTCCACGGCACCCTCGGTCACTGGAACGCGCCGCTTGGCACTAGCAAGGATGGGCTTGAGCCGTACCTCCTCCAGCCGCCGGCCCTGCAGGGCACAGTCACCATGGGCCCAAGGGTCCCAGCCCTTCCTCTGAGCTCCTTCAAATTGTCACTCAGGAAAGTGGGTGGCAGGGTGGTAGGGGTAAGGGACAGGGCTCAAACCATTCACCTTGGTTCCTCACTGGACAGGCCAAGGAACAGAGAAGGGAGAGGTACTCTTGGAAAGCCACATGTTGAGTAAGTAACAAATGTGTTTGTGTGGGACCATTCCTATTCCTCAAATATATTAAACTGAAGGGTAGCAGATGGTCCTGTGTTGGCACTGGATCAGGATGGGAGACCCTATAGTCGGGGAGGTTTCTGCTGGGCTTAGAGAGGGGCCAGCTGGAGAGAACCAAGATGGGCACAGAGAGCTGCTCGAGAACTCCAGCAGGATCCTATGGCCCAGAAATCCCACCCCCAACCCTAGTCCCGAGTGACCTGAACCAGTGAAGTGTCTCCCACCACGGGCTGGGCCACTGGCCTTAGGCTGCAGGCTGCCTGGTAGCAGAGGGTGGGAGCCAGAGCCCTGCCCTGCCCACTCCTGTTGTTTGGCTTGAGCTGTTTTTAGCTTGGGTTGTTTGTGCTGGGAAGAGGCAGCAATTGTGGCCAAGGCTTGTGGGTGAAGCAGCCCCCTCTCCGCTTCTGCCTCCCTGATGGGGAGCAGCTTCCGTGGTTCCCAGTAGACCCTGACGCCCTGCCCTGCCTTCTACCCAGGTACCTGTTCCTGGCCAGGGCCCCCACGATGCTGCCTGGCCCATGCTCTGCTCTCTTTACTCTTTCTTTGTCCTTCTTTCTCCAGGCTTATCATCCAACAGACTCTGTCGCCTGGTCCCACATTTGGCTCAGGCCTGAGCCTGAACAGCTTCCTCACCTGGGGCCCAAGGGCATTGGAGACCTTCTCAGAAAAGTAGCCTCGCTGGCGCTTGGGGTGGCACACCACCCCAACATCTTCTGAGTGGCTGCAATCGTTGATACCCCAGCCGTTAGACCCACACTGGTCCAGGGAGCTCTCTGTGCCCAAACAGCGCACGTTGTCCAGCCAGATGGGTCCTGTTGGGGAGGGCACGGGTGGTGCTCAAGGATGAGCTCTGCCTCCTAGATCAGACCCCACACATAGAAAGTGGGGTTCAGGAGGGTTGATGGTCCCCCTGGAGTCTTAGAATTCACACCCTGCCTACTGCCTCTTTTTAGCATCAAGTCCTATGAAATCTGTTTACCAAAAATTCGGGTCAATGTAGTGGCTCACCTATACCCTCATCCATCCATCCATCCATCCATCCATCCATCCATCCATCCATCCATCCATCCACCCATCCATCCATCCATCCAGTAAGGTTTGCTAAGCATTCAGTGCATGCCAACTTTTATGATAAGAAATTTAGAGGTGATGATGGTGATACTGATGATGCCTTATTTTAAGGTCATCTGCAGCTGGAGCTGAGGAAGGCCTCACGGAGACCACTTGAACTGGTGTTAAAGAACAGATGGGTGGGTATCCAATATGCTCTGTTGGAGGTAAAGTGAGCCCCACCCAAGAGAGAAACCTGCTGTCCACCAGTCACTCACCTTCCCCTTGGCCATACTTGGCACTGTGGGCCCAGGTCAAGGCAGCCTCAAACCCCAGTTGGCGGCAGGCCACTGTGGCCTCCTGGAGGGCGAAGTCATCATCGCACACTGTCCCCCACTGGCCCTGGTGCAGCACCTCCAGGCGGCCCTCCTCTGGCCTGCTCCCTGGGCCCACCAGCCGGAGCTTTGCTGTGCCCAGTGACTGTGGATTGCTAGGAGGGGCTTGGTTTAGCAGCAGCAGCAGGAACAGGGGCAAGGTGGTTGGTAGGGACCACATCATGGCGGCTTCAGTCAGTTGGGGCCAAGGCACCTGTGGAATAAACATGACGGATCACCACTCTACCCCGAGCATAGACCTCTGTGGCACACACAGGTTGGAAGAGCAGTTTGCCTACCCCTCCCCATGGGTGTGAGATGCCCAGCTGCGCTATCCCGATCAGGTGTGCAAATGTTCCCTTCATGATAGACTAGTGCATGGACAACTGAATAGGAAAGGCTTATTTGCTGGGCAAAGCTTTCAAACTTTATCTCTAAAGTAAAGTTGGAAAGCTCTTTGGGCTCAGGTACCCAATGACATCCTCCAGCCATGGCTGTAGGTACCACTGAGTATAGGGGTGGTATCTGACTCAGAGAGGGCAGGGCTGAGTGGAGTGGACTTGTCTTGGAAGGATCCACATGGGGCTGAGGAGTGGAGGCCCATGGGGTTGGGGACTGTGTGCTGTGTCTCCAGCACCCAGAGTGGTGCCAGGTGTGGAAGCAGGAACTGGCTGCATAGATGGGTTGTGGCATAATACGGTGCTAAAGACTGTAGACTGGGGGGTCAGACTGCCTGCTTTCATGTCCCTGGAGCCCTGTGCCACACCCTCCAGCATCCCATTCTCCCCCTCCCCAGGGCTGTGAACTGCTGCCATGGCATTCTCACGACAAACTTTCTCCCCACTGGGTACCCTCCTGGGCTCCCTTTCCCAACTTAAAAACTGTTTTCTTCATGTCACTCCTTGCTCTGAGTCCCTGGAGCCTGTCCCCACAAGCAGCGCTCATGTTTCTATCAGGAACAATGCGGTTTTCTTAATTTTTAAAGTTAATACAGAGGTCATCAATAGTCTCAGAAACAAACACACAGGGTGCAAAGTGAGAGCTTCCAATCAGTCATGACTGTTGCTCTCTGCTGCTTCACGGTTCCGTTGCCTCCTCTGAGCTTCCCTATGAAGGAGGGGGACAGCCTGGGACAGGCCCAAGCTAAAGTTGCCTTGAGTAGGGACATTCCCCAGAAAACAAGCAAGGAGGGGAGGGTTGGCTGAGGGCCCCCAGCTGCCAGGATGCAGTGGTCACATGGGGTCTGGACTGAGCAATGGCCCCAGGCCCCAGCACCCTCGGGAGTCAGGAAGCTCTGGCCCTTCCCTCACAGGGTTGCGAGCCTGGAGTCAGGGGTCTCCTTGGTGAAGTCTCAGCTGTGATACATGTAAAATTAGGGGTGGCAGTGGTATTGGGGAATTCCTCCACCTGGATTGTTTGGGAAGGGCTGCACAGGTCCACCCTGGCTTGTAGCTTCAGTGTCCACAGCTTGGAGGCTGGAGACAGTTCCAGGTCAGGAGCTTCCCTCCCCACCAGGGCTGGGCTTCTGTTTCAAGGCCCTGGATTCCAGGCCAGGGCAGTCCCCTTTCCTGAAAAGCCACCAAGAGGTGGACAGGCAGCAGCTGGCACTAGAAGTCAGGTGCACTCAGAGGGAGCCCCTCTCCTTGGCCTTTCCCAACTGCAGTACTCCCGTTGTCTCAAATTTGCCTTCTCACTATGTCCCCCAAGCATTGTGTGCATCACCCAGCTGTCACACCTGTGCCCTCATTCTCCTACCTGGAGTACCCTCCCCCTCTAACTCAGGCTGTTAAGCTCCCAGCAGCTGTCAGCACCCAGTTCAAACACCCCTTCATAGAGACCTCCCCTAGCTTCCTAGCACTTTGTGTGTGGGCTTCCTAATGCCACACACCTGTTCCCTTAGGCCTGGGCACATGAGGGGACCCGGCTTGCAAAGTCAGCCGGAGAGAAGGAAGCAGCCTCCACAGCTGACAGTTGCTTTCTGAAGGGAAGCAAGAGCATGATGAGCGAGGGAAGGGTGGGGGGTGCAGTAGAGAAGGAGGTGAGGATAATGATAAATGCAGAAATATTGACTGAATCCTTCTTTCCCCTTTACAGATGAAAAAAATGGGAAAAATGAGACGTTCATTGCCCACGCAGGATTCAAATCCAAGCAGCCTGGCTACAAGCTGGATTTCAAACCCATGCGGGGAGAGGAAGAACAAGAAAGGGAAGCTGGGAGCTGAATGAAATTCCACCCTGTGACTGGCTGATTAAGGAGCCCGGCGGTGGTGTTAGGGTGCTGGGGTGAGTGCCAGCACCCAGTGCCACCAAGTGACAGTCCCGGGATGCTGCCAGCTCAGGCGGAAGTGGCACCTGCTGACCTGCGCTGGGGCTCTGGTCTGGGAGGGAGGGCTGCAGGCGGGCAATAGCCCAAAGGTGTTGAACATAGATCCTGAGGGTGCTTTTCTGGGGCGGGGCAGTCCCCCACAACCCCTTCCCTGAAGCTCCTTGGGTATTCAGCCCGTTATCCTGTTTGGTAGCACTGCCACTTTCCAGGCTGGAAACTGCAACGCTTAATTCCTCCTCTCACCCCAGCACCGCCTGCCCTATTCTGGCCTTTGTTGTCCCAGTCACAGGAGCGGACACCTGAACCACCTTGGCCTTCCCCAGCCCCTCCCTGGGTAGGAAGGCAGAGAACACAGCCTGTTCTCCAAGCAGGCGCACAGGCATCAGAGATCAGGGCGCGGGCCACCCACCAAGCTCCCCAGCTCAGTCGCAAGGGGGCCAAGCCGGCCGCGCACGGGACTCCATCCCTACCAGCCCCCAGCCTCCAGCCTCCAGAAACCCTCAGAGAGACAGAAGGATGGACAGGCAGCACAGCAAGAGGCAGACCCAGGGGCCAGCCAGGCTGGGGCTCACCGGTGGAACGTGGACGGTCCAGGGCTGGGCCGGGTGGAGCGGCGGGAACGGGCCTCCCGGGGCGCCCCGGGGCCCTTTTATCTGCCAGTCTCCGTGGCCCTCAGCCCCCAGCCGGCCCCGGCCAAGGCCCCGCAGGCACCGCCCCCGGGCGGGCCACGAGTGGGCGGGAGTCTCGCCCGGCCGGCCCTCCGCCAGGGACAGGACGCCCCAGCGGGACAGGAGGCAGCGCGGGGGGCTGGGGAGCCCGCCCGGGAAGTCCCCGACTGGGGAGTCGCGGGGGGGAACTGCTGGGGGCCGAGACAGCTGCTGCTTCTCTGAGCTCCCTGGAGCCCCCAGTGCAGCGGGAGGGGCTGAGGGGCTCTGCGTTCCTGAGTAGCCCGTGAGTCCCGCACCTCCTCAACCCGGCGACGAGCCCACCCGCTGCATCCCGAGCAGGTGCGCACAGCGCCCTTGCAGCGGGAGCGCCTTTCTGCCAGTGCCTGAGACCTCTGAGTGTGGTCTCTTAGGACCATGGGGACGCGGGTGGGGAGTGGCTCCCCCAGGGCGTATCCAGTAAGTAGCAAAGCCGTTAACAACTCCTCTGCACCCCTCACGGGATTGGATGAGAATCCTCTGGCTGATGATGAGTGAAAGGGAATGGGTACCCTGTGGGGTAGTAGGCTGTGAAAAAAAAAAAGTGGAAATGGCTGAGACAGGGTAGTCCCAGAACCAGTTTCTTTCCTACAGTTTTGGTCACCCCAGTGCCTCAGTGACTGCATCTCTTAAGTGGGCAGAGGGTACCAAGTTTTCTCCTCAGGCTGGGACTGGTCTAGTCCTTTTGCCCACACCTTGCCTGAAAGTTCTTCCAAAGAACTCATTCATTCAGTAAGCTGTTATTGATGTTCTCCTGTGTGCTGGGTGCTGGGAGGGGACCTCCTCAATCTGATGGGGGAGGCAGAGTATGATAAGGGGCAGTGTGGCAAGGTGGGCTTTTTTGGTCCCTGGGTGATGATCTGGTCACATTGACCCTGCTGCAGGGGGACCTGCTGCCCACCTCTGGCCGCTCATGTCTGAGATGTCCTCCCAATGCTCCCGCCCTGTCCCAGCTGGGCCCAAAACATTCCCTGGGATGAATCAACAGGAAAGAATGCTCCGAGCCCCGGGTCAGTGGCAGCGGCAGCAGCCCAACTCCTCCCCCAGGGACAATGAAGCGGCTGTGGACCAGGGTGCCAGGTATGCCTGGGCCCCCTCCCCGTGCCCAGCCACCTCTCATGCCGAGCCAGGAGCAACACAGAGGGCTGGGAAACCTGGGCTCTGCTTGCTGCCAATCACCCACCCAGGCCTCCCGGCTCAGGACTAAAAATACCCTGAACCCAGGAGCTGGCATCCGGTAGAGTTCAGAGAATGAATGGACGTTGCCTGGAGGCCCTTCAGCTGGCAGTTCTGCGGACAGAGGCTGAGGCTGGGGCCAGGGGAGGGGGCTCTGTTCAGGGGTCACTGTGAGTCCCTGGCCTGGAGAAGTGAAGAGTCTGGGTGTCAGGTGGGTTTTTCTCAGCAAGGTCACCATCCACATGTCCTTCCCTGCTGCTGCTGCTGCTGCTGTGGGTTCCGGGGGCGATTTGGTACATCTCCTTTAGCTTTGACTTGACTGGGGCCCCCTGCCAGCCTCTCTGTGCCCTGCCTGGCCAGGGACAGGTCTGCTTTTCTCAGAGATGTGGGAGCAGGGCCTGGCACCAGGCAGGTGCTCGGTCAGGGCTCCTGGACTGGATCAGTGAGCCTAGTGTGCACAGAGCTCTGCAGGTCCTGGGGGCTGGGGGACAAGCCAAGTATGATCTCCACCTTGTCCTTAAGGAGTAGACTGAGAGGTGGCGTGTGTGTGTGTGTACAGATCTACAACCAGCCAGCAAAGAAAGGTGTGGTCGCAATACAGGTGGGGAGCAGGTGCTCTGGGTATCAGTTCATCTCAGTGCTCGAAGACTCACCGACAGTATAGTGAGCACCTGCCTTTTACAGAGAAGGAGCACAGCAGAGGGCTTAGGGGACTTGGCCACAGTCACAATGCGGCATAAGCACAGACTGTGAGGCCATACAAGGCAGGTCCTGAGAGTCAGGGGCCGCACGGGGGTGCCTGGTGCCTTGAAGGATAGGTCTGATGCTGGGTGGCCAGAAGGAATTATGTGTTGCAGTGGCAGACTGTGCTACACTGCCCTGCTCGCATCCCTCAGCCAGTCCTCAGGGACCAAGTACCAGCACCCACCCATCTCCCCTTCCCAGGGGGCGGGCCGCAGGCAAGCTGCAGGAGCAGCT